CTGCCACTCCTCTCGTCTGAAGTGTTGTGTTGCCATCCAATGTTACTTTTTCCAGTGTACAAGATTGAAAATTGGGAGGGGGAGTGTCCTCGGTTAGAACCTTGGTTAGCCTGGCTGCTGTACTATCGCTAGTACTATGCACGGTCCTCAAGTTGGAGAAAATGTGCCTTTCATTCATTACCTCTCTGGAGACATCTTGCTGGAATGAACAGTATGCTCAGGGACTATTTGGAACTGGATGTTTTTGAATTCTTTTATACTAGAGATGATATTATTCCTAATTTTTTGAGGGCCTTTTAACACTTCTGGAGCTGGTTGTTTGCAAGTGTGCTTGTTCCAGAGTGTGGAAGTACAAAGACGTTGGCATCACGTCAGTCTGCTTTATTTGCTGTTGTGTGTCAGGACTGACGAGTGTCATGGAGAGGGCAGACCATCTCTTGGTGTTCCTGAAATGGCTTAAGGAAAGGTGGAAGACTGGGAAGACGCAGGTGACTCGGCTTTCTCCTTTGGGGTTTAGGCTACATACTGGGGCGGGGAGAGGGAGCTTGACACCATTCAGTTGGGATGGTGGGAAAAGCCTAACGAGAGTACACGGTGTGCACCCAGCGTAGCAAGCACATGAACAGTCACAGACCATGGTGTTGGCACAGTTCAGGTCTGTGCCGTCACCTTTCGATACAAGTGAGAAGCCGGGCTAGAAAAAGACAATCCTGAATTACATTTTAGTCATTGTTTTCAAGACAACAGAAAATAAAAATTTAATTATTCTTGTATATCAACATATTTTTGTTTTAACATGCAAGCGAGTAGCATATTAATGGCTGGCTTTAAATTTATCTTGATTTTTCTATGAAGAAGACCTAAAACTCACTGTAAGACATTTCAGTTTTTTTCTTTATTTACAGAAGCCTGTTTTCTTAGGAAAGGAAAATTGGCTAGCCTTGGCCAGTGTGTCCGCTCAGTCTTCACATACTCCCTGATCGGTTTCCAAGTGTGAAACTCTTTGTTTAAACATCACTGTAATAAAGTATGTACTACATCAGCATTTTTCACTCATCTCTTCTCTTATAAAGCTCTTTCATGAAAATATTTCCCAAAATGCTCAAAATTTTTTAAATCATTTATTTGTGGCATATAATTTTGTTAAATCCATATACTAAGTCTTTAGTCTTAAATATAATTACTAATCAAAATATTTAATCAAACTGTACACAAATATGATTCTAAAAAATTTTAATTGTATCAAAGGATATTCAGTGAAGCATGAGTCAGCTTCCCTCCCCTGCTCGAGTGCCCGGGCAACCCTGCTGGCGGTTAGTGCTCCTGCAGAAGCAGCCTGTGCTCGAGTAAGGCACCTGTCTCTCCTTTCAAAACACAAGTGGCAGCACATGATACTTGCTGGTTTGCACCTTGCTTTTTTTGCTTAATGTATCTAGTTTATAATAATTTACAGTATAAAAGAGTATACAAAATCTTTAATGACATAATTTGCAAACTGCATTTGCCCTTAAGTATCTGGTTTATTTTTATAATTTTTGTGTCTATACTATACTATTTGCAGGCAGTGTCAATAGTCTTTACTACTAAATAAAAAGCCAATTTAGATAAAATCACTTTTTTTTAAATTATAGTACTGGTTTTTTACTAAAAATATCTTGAAGTGTTTCCAAACTTTCCTGAGTACGTCTTCCAGACCTGAGGCAGCCCTTGCCGCGTTGTGAGCTGCTCCTCACTGGCCTGCTGCAGCGTCGGTGTGCGCTCTGTCAGTGAGACTCGGCTGCTGAGGCTGCATCTTCCGCTGCTCCTCCCTTCTGGCAAGATGGAACAGACCTGAAACCTTGAAAGATTTCTCTGGCTGCTCTTTTAATAAAATGGCTAAATAAATAAATAGGCCCCAAAAAGGCACTGGGTATGCAGACAGACGTTTGCAGACTCGGCACAGTGCTGAATCCTCGTGCAGCGAGTGCTGCGTCAGTTCTCGACACTCCGGAAACTGCACTTTCTCAGCATCACGGTTGTCACTCTAATGTACGGACACTTCATTCTTATACAAGATCAGTGAGTTCGGGGGATTGGTAAGAGATTTTGCTTAACTTTTTAAAACAACACAACTTCAGAAGTCTTTTTTTCCCCAGCTAACTCAAATGCGGAGCCAGGAGCATGGTTCAGAATGTATTTTCCTACATTCTAGGAGGTGAGAGGACTCGTGCAGCCTAGTCCTGAGAAGCCATCAGCGATGACCGTGAGTCATGAGGGTCTGCCCTGTCACAGACTCTGGCTCCAAAAACCCAAGGGACGAATAAACTGTCACATAAATGGCTCTGTCCTCAGGCTTTCACACTGCTGTTAAGCCATTTTAATTCATGTTTATTGAGCTCTTATTAGAAGGCTCTGTGCCATACAGGAGTTGTGTGGATATGAAGATGAAATCTGAAATATCTATTTAAAGGTTTTAATAGCATTAATTGTCACAGTATCCTTAATGTGCTGAATAAAGTAAATTTGAAATAACTGATGCTATGGAAAATACAATTTTAAATGTGAGTATAACAAAGCTCATTAGCAAATTTTCTTAGCAATTTTGGCATATATCACCTTGGGCCCAAGCATTCCCAAGTATTTAGGTCACCATCTTTACTTTTGCTACTCAAAATGTGGTCCTCAAAATGGCAGCATCTCTTGGGAGCTTAGAAATGCTTAGGCCCTACTGGAGCATCTGAATCAATCCGCATCTTAACTACAGCTCCAGATGTTCTTGTGCACGTTGAAGTTTGAAAGCAGTGATATATACAACTAAGCAACACCTTAAAGTTAACAGTTCAGAGAACTTGACAAGTGCAAGTAAAGAATAATCTTCAGCAATACTTTAAGAAACTACAAAGGATGTGTTTGGGGGTACTTTTAGTTCTTTAGAAATGCTAGCGTGCCAGTAAAGAAACTTTAAAAATTTATTATAGGGCCGGCCCGGCAGCACAGCGATTAAGTGCACACGTTCCGCTTCGGTGGCCCGGGGTTCGCCAGTTCAGATCCCGGGTGCAGACATGGCACCGCTTGGCACGCCATGCCATGGTAGGCATATAAAGTGGAGGAAGATGGGCACGGATGTTAGCTCAGGGCCAGTCTTCCTCAGCAAAAAGAGGAGGATTGGCAGCAGATGTTAGCTCAGGGCTAATCTTCCTCAAAAAAGTAAATAAAAATAAACATTTATTATAGAAACAATGTCATCCTTTAAAAGAACACAAAACCTCGACAATAAGTAAAAAAATCCTTTAATCCATTAGCCCTTCTGGACCTCTATCCAAAGGAATTAATCTACAACCTTCAACTCCACAAGCTCCTTGCTGCCATCGTCACTGTTACAGATGAAATCACCTCACACCTTAAGTGACCTAAAGAAAAGGTTTGAGAGTCACTGGCCCCAGGCTCGCTCTTCAGCATCATTTCTGATCACATCTTTCCTGCTTCCTGCCTTCCACCCTGACAATAAAGAATTAATTCCTTCAATGTATTATGCTGTTTCTTTACTTAGTGCATTTGTTCAAGCTGTCCCTGTTGGCTGAGTTCTACCCCCTTTTCCTAGAAAACTTTCCCCGTAAACCCTATGCCTATTCTTAGCGTAGTTACTTAAGAGTTTATTGTAATTATCATCCACATTTCTGTCCTATTCTCCCATCTCTATGGGCCCCACATACAGAAAGCGAACGATAAATGACTGAAGCAAATGCCATTACGATGGTCTCTAGAGCTGTCTGCTAGCTCATTCTCTACTTGACGCTGCTGGCCACCGTCATCACAACTTTCTACTTCTTGGCTTCTGACACTTTGCTGATTCTCCTCCCCTTTCCTTCCTTGGCTCCTCCTCCAACTACCTGGGGGCATTTCATAAGGCTCAGTCCTACTGGTTATTTCTGTAGTGAAGCAATATTACAGGTGAACCACCAAGAATAATTTGAAAGTTGGGATCCCAAATCCTCCAGGAGGTAAGATTGATAGAACAGCATCCTACAAAAGAAATGTAAAATTCTGTGCTTTCTCATACTAGTATTTTACCAAAGTAACAAGCTCAGAAGAGAAATTGGAAATATGTATTAAAAGTATTTAAAAGCATAACCTCCCATCACATCACCCAGAGAAGATCACGGTTAAAATGGGTTTCTTTTCCTTCAGGATTTCTTCCATCAGTTTTATCAATGTATTTGATTAAGAAGTAGGTAAGCACAAGGCCTGGAGCCAGACTGCCTCGAGCTGTGTCCTAACTCCAGCACGTCTTAGCTATGTGGCCTGGGGCCAGCTCCTAAACCTGTTTCAGTTTGCTGTCTGTAAAATGGGAAAGGACTCACGGTGTTCCTAACGCACCTAGCAGGGTGCCTGGCACAAAACTAATACTGTGTAAGTAATCACTAGTATTTTGAAGGCTAACCATCTTTACATATTACTAGTAAGATTACAGGCGAGCTACCTAAAAAGCAATAAAACAATAGTTGTATGAATAACGATCATGCATACTAAAAAAAGTAAAACCTCATCCTGAAAAATCTCATCCTGATTCTGAAATGTAGGTGGGACATTAGTGACCCAGGAACAGGACAGACAGACCTTATCACTGCTGGAGGCTACCACCCAGAAAGAAGTGCTCTAATCCCAAGTTTTTAAAGTGTGTGTTTAAACTAATCCAGGGCATGGAGCTCGAGAATGGCACATCCCATCTATAATTAAACTAAGGAGAGGATTATAAGCATGTTAAGTAAAAAGATTTTAGTCGATCTTTCCTCGAGTTTATAATGAATATATACTTCATACATCAATATTATTCTTGAGTTTGTCCTTTATAATGAACACTTGTTCTTTAATGGTAGTTATGGTGCAGTTTTCACCTTATGAGCTATAGAACATTTGGTGAAGCAGGTTAACAGACCAGAAATGATAATGTACATTCTTTTTTTTTTTTTTAAGATTTTATTTTTCCTTTTTCTCCCAAAGCCCCCCTGGTACATAGTTGTCTATTTTCAGTTGTGGATCATTCTAGATGTGGCGTGTGGGATGCTGCCTCAGCATGGCTTGATGAGCAGTGCCATTTCCGCGCCCAGGACTCGAACCAGTGAAACCCTGGGCCGCCGAAGCAGAACGTGCAAACTTGACCACTCGGCCATGGGGCCGGCCCTGATAATGTACATTCTAAGACATTCTTCCGAAGGACACCAAACCAACTCCACTGATTCATATTATGCATTCGAGCTGGGTGCCAATCAATTTGCGGACTGTGTCATCCTGTTGTTCCTGTATGCATTATACCACATGAAGAGGGTCCCTGTCTGTCTCTGACAGGATAATATTAATCTTCTTCTCCAAGTGAGCACCCAGCATATCTCGAAGATCAGAAAGAAAGCCTCGTTCAGTGTTGCTGTGTTCACAGAGGATGACATTTATTCCCTGGGAAGCAGCATCCAGAATATCGTGATGGGACATCTCACCTGCCAACACAGGAAAGAGCAAATACATGTTAGAGTCTGTGGAATGCTGAACTGTAACAGGAGAAATACCAAGTTTGCATTCTGTATGAAGCAAATAGAATACAGCAGAACTTTTCATATAAATCTAGTCATTCTAGACTTAGTAGACATCTAACATGTCCTCCAATTTAAAAAGGACAGAGGCCATCCTACTGAAAATCCTTCTCTTTGGGAGACCCCACTATCCAAACTCCCACATCCAACAGTATCTAACACTGCAAACAGACCTGTAAAAAACACCCATTCAAAATGTTTCCGTAACAAAATGACCACTGCTAAGTAAAATGGGGCTTTCAGCAAGTTTCCTTCTTACTTAAGTATTAAATAACAAATATATCAAGAAAATCCTCGGTATACGTCCCAGAAGACTCCTTCATGCTTTGTGAACACCAAAACTTTCAGCACCAACCCTAGACTGATTCATAAGGGTGAAATGAACTTAAAGTTCTTTCTAAATTAAAAACAAGGTATTTTCCTTTGACTTAGGCAAAATTCCTAGACATTCTGAAGTTACTGGTAGAAGAGGATCTCATCTTTTGGGAAAAGATTTTGGGAAAACTCAAATGTTTTCAATTTTTAAAATCTGATGACTTCTAATTTAAGAGCAAAAATATATTGTGCACAATTTGGCTTATTCATAATGAAGCATAATTTTGAGATATATTTAGAGACATAAGGCATAAAAACTAAGGGAAAAAATGTTTCTAGGAACAAAAGGGTTTTCCCCCCCCAAAATTTTCAGGTCCCCCTCCCCACAATATGTGCCACTTCATCGCCATCTGTAACAGTAAGGGAAAGTAAAGGAGACTCTAAGGTGGCCTGGCTGGAAGCCACGCCTTAGGAGAGCGCCACGCACTGGCGGGGAAAGGCATGACAGTGGGGAAACCCAGGAAGACCCCGCAGTAAGAGCCGAAGGCAAAGGAAAGAAGGCTCGCTCAGGATGGCGGCTGTGGGAAAGAAAAGGCAAATGAAAGAGAATTTATATCTGCAAGGAGCAAGCTCCCTGTCTGCTGATCTTTCGAGACATGACCTTTAACGACCTAATACCATGCCAAGCTCCAAGGAATGAGGGCAAACGTCAGCAGAGGCCTGTACTTGGTCTTTCGGCTGTTGCTTCCCATCCCTGAAGTTATATTCAAAATGATGCCTCACTGATCAGAGACATCTAAAGTTAGCCAGATAAAAAGGTATTTTTGGGGCTAGCCTCATGGCGTAGTGGTTAAGTTTGGCACTCTCCACTTTGGCAGCCCAGGTTTGCACGTTCAGATCCCAGGCGCAGACTTGCACCACTTGTCAGCCACGCTGTGGCAGCATCCCACATATAAAGTGGAGGAAGACTGGCACAGATGTTAGCTCAGGGCTAATCTTCCTCAGCAAAAAAAAAGAAACAAAAAACGAAAGATATTTCCTGTTTCCCCAAGTAACCAGATTGGAAGGACATTTTAACATTTTGGAATTGTGTGAATTTAATTATGCACATATTGCTTTATAATTAAAAAAAAGTTAAAAAAAAACTCATTATTTATGAGGAAACAATCTGACACTCCAAACTGAGAGATATACTACAAAGCAAATGGCCTATACTCTTCAAAAATGTCAATGCTCTGAACACAAAGCTGAGGAACAACTCCAGGTGCAGTGTGTGATCACAGATTGGATATCGATCAGAAAAAGAAATACTACAAACTTTGACCAATTGGCAAAAGTTGAATACAGACTGTGTACTAAATAAGTGTTTTAACAATATTAAATTCCTGAATTTGATCACTGTTCCCATGGTCATATAAGAGAATGGCCTTGTTCTTAGGAGATATATGCTGATGTATTTTGGGGTAAAAGGTCATCATGTCTGCAAGTTATTACAAAATGGTTTTGGGAGTTAATACATAAATATTGATATTTATATACACACATATATAATATGAACAGAGAGAGAGAATGTACAAATGTGGCAAAATAGAACCATCAGTAATCTGGGTGAAGGGCATCCAGGAGTTCACTGTACTGTTCTTGCAACTTTTCTATAGGCCTGAAATTCCTTCAAAGTAAAATGCTAATTAGGTTTAAAATAGTCACGCACCACGCTGTAAGATATTCCCTCAAATTGCCTACACATTGAAAGTTTATTTCAATCTGGTACAAGTTTGAGGGCTTATAAAAATCCTACATCTTCAGAAGGATAGAAAAGAAAGAGGTAACAGTCACGTACATTTTCGGTTGGTCAGAGCAAAGACTCCGGCTTGCTCAGACGCTGCACCAATCCTTCAGGATGTGACAATGTTTCAAGTGCAGCAGCCTTTCTAAGAGTGTGTGCTAGACAACGAGGCACAGGTGTGGGGGCAGGAGAGGCAGAGAAGTAGCCAAGGAAACGGCCAGAGGGTTAAGACCCCTGCACCTGGTCCTAGAAGTGGGAAAGCAATCTTCAAGTCCCTCTCTCCCAAACCTGGGGAGGAGCAGGGGTGGAAGTGCAGCTGGTGGCAAGTGTACACAGGGTCTCCAGCTCCTATGTAGGAATGATGGGCCATGTACCTATCAGGTACTGTCCTTGGGGACACAGTTACTGTGCCCAGCCTGGAAGCCAGTTACTGTCCAGTGGAAAGGCCTACAGGAGGGTAAGGACGCAGTGACAGGGTTGGAGGAAGGCACGTCCATCGGGGCAGGCCGGCCAGTGTCAGCAAACGCTTCTTGGTAGAGAGATGTTTGAGCTCATCAGGAGAAGCACAAAGGGGCCAGGAAAAGGCATTCTAGCCAGAGGGTCAGCATCCGCAGAGGCTGCAAGACAGAGTGAAGTCTGGGCTCCTCCAGGACAGATAAGGGACTCACTGAAGGCTTTTAGCCAGAATAATATTATACACCATCAATCTGTACTTGCGAAAGTTAGTTTGGGGAGAGTGTGTGGAAGATTAAGATGAGAGGCTGATAAAGTACTTCAAGTAGAAGATGATGCTGGATGGGCATAAGGGAGAAGGTTCTAGAAAGATTTTAGAGCTAGAACTGATAGGAACTGATGAAGTTTAGGGCTGAGTAAAAGGAACCATCTTTTAGCTAAGGTGACCAGGTAGAGAGTGTTCCATAAGTGACATACGAAATCTGAGGAGTCATGTTTAGGAAGAAGGCAGGTTAAATAAATGCTGAACATCAGTTTTTCAGATACGCTAATAACAAATTGTTAAATGATTTTTTTTCCTCCACAAAGAATATGGTTTGTCCCCAATTTTGGTGTAGTTCCTGTTTAGTTCAGTTCAAAACACATTTGGGTGGCAAAGAGATCGCAAGGCTGTCCTACCTGTGAGGTAAAGGTCGGCCTCCGCCCCCTGCAGGACTCTGCTCCCAGAACCAGCGCACAGGGCCACGACTTTGACCTGGGACTCTTCAAGACAAGGAAACAGGAGACCAACTCTTTCCAATTCCCCTTCATTTTAACATTGTAATTTGTACCAAGAAGCCTAAATGTAATGCAGATTTCACTCCAGGTTTCAGAACCAGTGTATGAATTCTGCTTACCAAATTTTTAAAAATAACAAAACATGTCCTCATATAGACAGATTATCCCTTGGTACTGCACAGCTAACTCAAGGCAGGGCTATGACTCCTTCGGGCGTACGTGGCTGCACAAGCCCACGTAAGGCACACCAGAGAGTGCAGACAGCGCAGCTCTGCGCCTCCCTCGACGCTGCCAGGGAAGCGACCGCACCAGGGCTCCAGGCAACAGGGAGAGGCAGGCAGCTACCACCTGTGTTCTCAGGTAAGGAAGCTGTGGAACTAAAAGGGCTAGTCAGAGGAGGGCTGCAAATGGATCTGACACACACTTTTAATACTGTATTTATCCTAACAGCGCATCTTCTGCAGAGTGAAATAGAAACTTTCAAGCCAAAATCCAACAAGTACTTGGCAACTAGTTTCTCGAATGGATGCTCCATGAGTGGTCACTCCATTACCGGCATTTCAAAAGGGGGGCTCTGAAGTCGGATCAGAAGCCACTTCTCATCTCTGCCATCCATTTTCTTTGGATGCTAACTCCCATGAGTTGTTTGATCCAACTGTGGACTTTGGGAAAGTTACTTATCTCTCTGAACCTCAATTTCTTACCTGTACAATGGGAATAATAACTCCAACCACAGAGCTAACAACAGCTCGCATTTACTGCACGTGAGGTGTGCTAGTCACTGGGCCCCGTCATGTGGATTATACCACCACCTTGATGAGTCAGGTTTTATTATTCCCACAGTTTTTACACATGAGGCTACCAGGACGCAGAGGGGTTAAATAACTTGTCAAAGTCATGCAGCAAATGGGACAGAAAGATTTGAACCCAAGGCATTTAGAATCCACACTCATAACAACTGCGTTCCACTCCCGCCTTTGCAGTGAGAACTCATGTACTCAGGACACTCAATATAGCGATGGGCTCACCGCAGGGGTCCAACAAATGTTCCCATCATCCCTTTTGTCCCGAAAATATGGGGGAAAAGCTACAAGACTCAGAAACTGCAGTGCATCGCTTCACTTAGTAGCACCTCATGTAAAATATCACCAGTATTGTAAAATGCAAGACCACATTGTAATCGGAGCCATGATAATTTCCAGCTTTCTTCCTGGCACATGGTAGGACTGCACGTCGTGCCCTCCCTGGGTCGTGTTGGGCAATGTGACTAATTCTGGACAATAAGTTGAACAGAAGTAATAGACGTCATTTCTAGGCTAGAATGTCTAACTGATGGCTGAAGACCCTCCAAAACTCTGCCTCTGCAACAGCAACGAGTCTACAATGGGCAGCCTTCCCCTGCTGACTCAAGATGAACGCGGACAGTGACTGAGAAGTAAACCTCGTTTAAGCCAGTGAGGTTAGAGCATGGCATAAGCTAGCCCACCCAGACTGATGGAAGCTGCTAACGCGATTCCCATCACTTACAGTAACACAACCAAGAGTTTCAACTTTTGCCCAACATTATCCGTAGGTAGACCGGACAAATAAAGGAGACACATTTACCTAAGGTTCTCCCCACACCAAGAGCAAGGCGGACATGAGACAGTTTTAGGTGCCTTTTGATTCGCTCAACCATGGTGGCCAAGGAGACAGATTCTTCCAGTGTGCATAACCGTCCCATTCCAGTATGCAGAAGCAGAGGCTGAAGAGAAACAGAAGTTAGAAAACTACCTCTGAAATTAGAAAATTATTTCTGAAATAATGTGCTTTTTTTTTCACTGTTTATATTAATACCCACTAATATGGGGTATTAGGAAGGAAAAAAAAAAAAAGCATTCTGAGCCTGAGCCAGAAAGTAAAGATAAAGGGACCATCAACAGAATGGCTATCAAGCTAAAAGAAGTGAATAAAATGGTCCAAGCAGAGAGTATATAAAATAAGAGACAGACCCTGTAACCCTATAACCGAGTCTCTAACCCTCAAGTACTGGTAAGTTTGAACGTTTGTGTCCCCCAAATTCATATGTTGAAATCTTAACCCCTAAAGGTGACGGGATCAGGAGGCGGAGCTTAAGTCACAGGGAGGAGCCCACGTGAACAGGATCGGCGCTCTATAAAAGGCTCCAGAGAGCCCTCGTCCTTCCAGTGGGAACACAGGCAGGGGCACTGTCTGTGTGCCCACCCAGGAAGCGGGCTCTCACCAAACACCACCCCAAATTTGGCAGTGCCATGATCTTGGAATTCCCAGGCTCCAAAACCGTGAAAACTACATTTCTGTTGTTGATAAGCTACCCAGACTGTGGTACAGCAGTCTAAATGGACTAGGACAAGTGCATTTCCTTCTTCCTGGAATAGCTCCCTTTCTCGATATACTTCCCAAGGCATATTATGGTCTCATCACCGCCTTGTGCTTCTTTAGGTAGCAGTTAATAGATTGCTGATCTAAGAATTTACAAATGAATTTGCCAAACAAAAATGCACAATATACGACATTTTGATTACCTTCTCCAGTGACACAATTTCAGTCTTCTGATAAAGCTGTGTGTTCTGGGACAGAAAAGCCACAACCTCCATCAAAGCCTGCTGAGTACAATTCAGACTGATCCGTGTCTGGTCTTCATCCTCAGTCCTAGAAGCAAAGTCACTTGTTGGTTTAGGATAAATATAAACAAAATGTATTTTAATAATCCACAGTTTACAACCTCCTATCATAGATTAGATTTATATGGAATTTAGGATTTAACCTAAACCAATCTATTTTCTAAAATAATGTTTCTCAGACTTTAGTATGCCTCAAAATCACCTCATGGACTTAGTGAAACAGATTGCTGGGCCCCACCCCTAGGGTTTCTGATCAGCAGGTCTCAGCAGGGTCTGAGAACTTGGCTGGTCCAGGTATTTCTCTTTGAAACTGCTGTTTTGGAACTGTTCTTAATCCAGTTGTACACAAGAAATCTCCTACTAGCTTCTTAAAATGACAGCTGCTGGACCCTTCTACAGATCCAGTGAAAGTGAAGATCTATGAAGGGGGCTGGGGCAAAGTGAATTTTCTTAAAACCCAGAGAAGTTAATTTTCAAACATCATTGAATACAAGAATCTCCCAAACAGATTCTCAGACAAACCCCATTCTAATTACATAGATCCAGGATGAAGCCAAAACTCTGCATTTTTCATAAGCACCCCATTAACAATAATGCAGAGAGTCCTCAAATCACCCTTTGAGAAGCAATGCCCTGGAGCCTCTCCAAAGACTGGCAGCAAGAAAGTTTTGTATTTAACTATAAACTCTATTTATAATCATAGAATTCTAGAACTAAAAGACACCTTAAAAGATAATCTGGAAGTGTAGGTGTCAACATTGGGATCATCTGCGTGGCTCTGAAAAGAAAAAACAACGCCTGGACCCCAATCTAATGGTAAATCCCACACATTATCTGGAAAAACTGGAACCAAACTAACTGCGCATGAGTTGAAACAAAAAAGTCCGTCAGTGAGGAAGAGGAGCGCTCGAAGGGGCTGCAGCGCCTCCTCCCACTGCGGAGAGGCCTGGCACACCACAGCTCTGGAAGGCCCCTGAGACACTCTAGCTGAAAAGGCAAATACAGCACACCATTTAATTAAGAAAACAAGTAATAAAACAAAACTAGACATTTCTTCGTGTGCCTGTATGTTTGGAAAGATATCCACTTCTCTGAAAACAAAGGAAACGATGACTTGACTTGAGGACACTGGGACTGAGGAGAGGGGACAAGCAGGACTTTTGTACTGTTTGAATTTTTCATGCTTTATTTGTGTAATTTTCTTTTAATTTCAGTTTGTACAAAGTATTTCAGTATGGTAAAAGACATCCATGACTGGAATCTACGCCAAGTGCTATAAATAATTTTTCTTGAGATTCTTGAAATTCCCCAATACTATTAAAGGACATTTGCAATGACTTTACGGTCTCTATAATCCTTACTTTAGAATCACTCATCAAAGAGCCACTCTTTGGCGTAGGCTGACATAGATTTCCATTTTATTAAAAAATCATTATATTTATGCTTGTTTTTAAAATAATTATTAAATCCCAGCTTTGTATAACTTGTCGTTTATGATGCTTCAACAGGTATTAGGACAAATTAGCCTAAAAGAAAATCTCCAATGAGGCAACATTTTGGTACCTCTGCCCTAAATAAATAAATGACCTCCTAAGAGGCACTTTCATGTATTTTTCCTTTAAAGTGCTTGGGACTCACCGCCTTGCTGGGAACTCATCAGTGTAAACCCATGTTCTCTGTGTATCACTAGGGTTTATCTATATGCCCTAAAGTAAAACAACGCCCTGTCAACACTGCCAGAGGATTAGCAACACTGCATGTAAAACGTGTGGCATCATCCCTCCCACACGGAAAATAGTCAATAAATGTTACTTATCATTTTTACTGTTTTGAAAATATCCCATAGTTCTCCTTCTTGAGGACCCACATGCAAATGAGAGGCGTGCTGCTTTGCAAACTCGCCCCGGGAAAACAATTTGTTTCAAACCTGAAGACCAGGCTTACAGAATTTGTAAGATCCTTACAATAAATACACACAAAAAAGAGAAAGATATACTGTACCTAACAGAAAAAGAAGTGACAGAAACACCTGCAATTCCTTTCACTGCAGAAATGACTTTGCCCAGGTCTTGGGTGTGGCTAACACTGAATTCTACTCTGTGCGTTCCCTCCGTGAGGCAGCTGGCAGCTTTGGAAGGATGTATGGGCCTGGAGGTGCAAGCTCCTGGAAAAAAAATTGTGGGGAAATGGAGATTTTGTGGTGGTTGCTTTTTTTTTTTTAAATTAAAAAGACAAACTATTATGGGCAAAACTTAAATCAGTATTTTTTTAAAAATTAATTCTCGGATGCTTATATAATATACACACATATACATCCAACAGTTCCCATAATGTAGAGATTTATTATGGACATACAAAATCAAAATTATTTTCAGAATTATAAAGTAGAGGAAGATGGGCACAGATGTTAGCTCAGGCCCAATCTTCCTCAGCAAAAAGAGGAGGATTGGTGGTGGATGTTAGTTCAGGGCTAATCTTCCTCAAAGTAAAAAAAACAACCACATACAATGAATTCCCTCATTGTGCTGGGCGTAAGTAAGCTTTCAATAAAACTCTGATGTCTATTTGACTGACATGTGAAGCATATTCTGGAGAGGCCTGGGCTTTCGATTCAATTTAACAAGCATTTCTGGAGTGCCTGGGTGCTAGGCACTGTGCCACATGAGAGAGGAACCACAAAGCTCAGTCCAGCAATGAGGATTTCCTATGTTCTCCTCATTCATTATGGATAAAAATGTCATTTTTAAAATGCAATTTAACTGCCAGATTTCAGCAACATGATTTTTTTTTTTTTGGTAAGGAAGACTGTCCCTGAGCTAACATCTGTGCCAATCTTCCTCTATTTTGTATGTGGGATGCTGCCACAGCATGCCTTGATGAGCGGTGTGTAGGTCTGCGCCCAGGATCTGAACCCACGAACCCCGGGCCATGAAAGACAGCGTGTGAACTTAACCATTACGCCACTGGGCCAGCCCCAACATTTTTTTTGTTGTTGAGAAAGATTCACCCTGAGCTATCATCTGCTGTCCATCTTTTTTTTGTTTCCTTTTGCTTGAGGAAGATTAGCCCTGAGCTAATATCTGTGCCAATCTTCCTCCACTTTGTATGTGGGACACCTGCTACAGCATGGCTGACAAGTGGTGTAGGTCTGCGCCTGGGATGCAAACCCATGAACCCAGGCTGTGGAAGCAGAGCGCACCAAACTTAAGCACTACACCAAGAGGCTGGCCCCCCAATGTTATTTTTAAATAAATAAAAATAGAATAATGGTCCCCTCCCCCACAGCAGTTCAAGCTCTATTGGAAAGACATTCTAAAATTTCAAAGCATCTGTAGGGAAAATATTAAACATGAAAGAAGAGTCTTCTCACCGAGCCCTTTTGCCAACCAGCTGTTGACTCCCTGGGGTGCAGCATCATAGGCTGTGTGAGGAGAGTAAATACCAACTCTGTTCTCCAGAGCCTTGATCACCAGGCGCTCCTTCCAGGTTTTCCAGGTTATGCGCTTCATGGGTCGGAAAACAGGGGGATGGTAAGAGAGAATGAGATCCGCCTTCTTTTGCAGCGCCTCCTCCATCACTTCCTCGGTCAAGTCATTGGTCAGGAAGAGGGTGTTTACAGTGTGTGGTGGGCTTGGTTCCACCAGTAATCCAACATTGTCCCAACTCTCAGCAAATGAGAGGGACGCAAAGTCATTCAAGGAGGAAAGGAGAGCCTTCAAATCCATGAAGGAACGGGAAGAAGTGCTGATCAGGGAATGGACCAGCTGAACCGTTGTGGGGAGCAGGTGTACACGAGATGACAACATACAGAAATGAGGTAAAACTGAGTATCTGGAGTCAAAACACAGAAAATGGTACACATGTACACCTCAGGCCTGGACCTTTGAGGTAGCAAAGCAAATGGGCAAAAGAGCTATAGTCATACATACCTGGGCTCAAATACTGGCTCTGCCACTTACCAGCAAATGGTATCTTAGGTAAGTAATTTAATCTCTCTGAGCTTGTTTTCTCATCTACAGAATGGAGATAGCATAACCTACCTCACAGGCCATCAGAGGAGCAAATGGATTAATATACGTAAGTCACCGAGCACAAGCCTGGTACATAACACACAAGTTCATCCCCGCCTCCCCAGCCCCACCCTTGCTTCAACCACCCTCCTCCCGTCTCCATTTCTCTAAATATTACCCTTATTCCAAGTCCCCTTCAACCTCCTAAATAAAGCTTTTCTTGACAAACCTTCCTTTCCAGTGTCTCCCACTCCAGGCCTCCCCGGTCTCTGCCCTGATGTTCTCAGAACGTTACACTCCTGTGTGTCTATGCCACGGCTGCCAGAGAACAGGAACTATCTTTCATACATCTCAGTATCACCAACAGAGGATAGCACTACTCGCTTACTAAACAGACTGACACAGTCCCCTCCGCCCACCACAGCAGACTTTGGAGCTGGGGTGGCATATACTGGCATTAAAGTGTTTTACAAAAAAAATAATAAAATATTTTTAAAAAGTTAAGTGCTTTACCAGCAGCCAGAGTCATGGGATGTACTGATGAGTCATGCTACGGATGGGCAGCAGGGCAGGAAAAGGCAGGAGCTGCTGCCCCCGGAACCAACACCTGCTACACAAAGGCCAGGCTCAGTAGGTGGGAGAGGGGGCGGTCCGGTGGAGGGCACTCTGCCCACACAGTCTGTAACCTCTGAGAGAGCCATACCCAACACAAAAAATAACACTGTCAATGCCATTCTCACGTTTACTATCCATGAGCATTTCTGTTTTTGAAGAAAAGCATTTCACAGTATGCACGATAACTAGCAACAAAGCATAGCCAATTGTAAATTTAATGAAATATTCATAACCCAATGATTTCAAAAGCAGATTTTTTTCAACAGTTCTACAGCAAAAATACTTAATACGAGGTGTAAGTACTTATTCAACACATGATTTGTGATGTGGTGCCTCCAAAAACCACTGGAGCCCAGGGCCTGGAAGGTCTTCTAAGGGTCCTTATAACACGTCTACTCTCCAGATTCCACGCCCTGATACTACTCTACTCTCCAGAGTCTTCTAAATCTGGCAAGCGCGAAAATGAAGCTCCAGTGGGTACCACGCCAGTTCTGAGTTATCTAGTGTCCTATCTGAAAGGGCACTTGGCGACAACAGAACACCCACCATTTCAGAGATTAGGAACCCGGGACGCCGCGTAGCTTGAAGCCAGAATTAACAACAGGAGGCGGCACAGCCTGGCGGGTAAGAGCACCGACTCCCAAACCAGACTGCCGCCCAGGGCCCCAGCTGCGCAGCCAATCACTTAAGCTCCGCGGTTTCCGCCGCTTCAGAATGGAGAGCCCAGCCCACAGCACCGTCGGGGGAGCGTCCCTACGGCTGCGAACGATGCCTGGCCTGGCGACGGCACTGATGGTTACTGTTAAGTAACGTTAGCGGGGCCCACTTTACAGCCTGAGAACTGCACCCTCTTACCTCATCCACTTTCACTGCAGTCCCACTTCAGGCCTCTTCCAGGACAATGAAGAGCCCGACTCAGGACCCCTGCCCCACCGTGCCCTACGCTCTCGCGCGGGGGCCAGTTTTCCTCCCCTGTCTCCTCTCCTGCCTCCTGTCGTTGCAGCACCCCCATGACAGCCGCAACCTGCACGGACCACGCCGGCCGCGAAGGCCTCACCTTCCCACGCGGGAACTTAGATCGCCTAACACTCACCAGTCCCAGGCGCGCTCCTTGGCGCCACTTCCGGTGCTGCGCGGAACCTCCTGGCGTTGTGGCAACGGACCGGGCGGAAGTGGTCCTTCCCATTTCACATCTGAACCCCGAGGCACTTGTAGAGGTTGCCCAGAATAGTTCCGGGTTACTCTTGTTGTCCTAGTGTAATTATTAAAAGAATTCCCTTTCACGGTCAAAAGTGTTCCAGGTGGGGTTAAATGACACTTCTACTTCTAGTCCTTTTGGTTTGAGAGAGGGAGGCGGGGGGAGGTAGAAGGAGGCGAGCAGGTGAGGGGCGTTCTCTCTAATGGGTGCCGTATTTGACTTCCGGTGGCCCGAAGAAACTAATTTCAAACCTACAGACCCGTGGGCGCACCTGCGATTGCATCTTTTCTGTTTTAACAATTGTGCTGATCGAAGTGGCTAAGTAAGTACGCGGTAACGTCACTCATTCTTCCATTCACTTATTCAAATACTTGCTGAGCGCTGTGTGTTTTAGTTCTTGGGCTGCTTTGAGTGAGCATTCTGGGCGGGGAGGGTATTGTTGAAACAAGAGACTTAATAAATTAGTCAAGGATATAGTATATTAGTGGCAAGTGCTAGGGTAAAGGGAAATAGGGCAGGTACTAGGTTGAAGGCAATTTTGAATAGAGTTATCAGGTCAATGAGACCTGACTCCTGAGCAGACTTGGAGGTGAGGAAAGCAGCGGTAGAGCTGTCTGCGTGTCAAGGTTCCCGGCAAAGGGAACGCCCAGCGCCCAGACCAGGGCGGGCATGTACCTGACTTGTGGGGATCCAAGGAGGACCTGAAGAAGAGTAAGCAGGAGCAGTAGGAGATTGAGGGGCGTGAGTCTGGTAGCATCTCCTCATCACTTCCATAACCGTATTTTTATTACTTTGGGGGGTTCTCTTTGAGACTTTTTCTTTTTAACATGTAGTGAAGTTGTGCACATGTGAGTTAAGAGAGGAAAATGAAAATTCTTCTTCTTTTGGGAATAGACTCATTTTTGAACTTCTCTTGATAAGACTGAGAAATTAAGAGTACTTCCTGAAACCATCAAAAAGAAAAATGGTAAGTTTTATAGAATTCTTATGAATGTCTTTCATTATAAGTAATTTTTAGAAATTTAGTCAAAAGAAATAAAACTGCATGGAAATTTCAATGACAAGACAGAAAAATGATAAGCTGTAGAAGCATCCAGTGTAAAATGATTCTAAACAACACAAATAAGCAAAATTACTTTTTGTTTTAAAGATTGACACCCGAGCTAACAAGTATTGCCAATCTTCTTTTTTCCCCCCTGCTTTTTCTCCCCAAATCCCCCCAGTACATAGTTGTATATTTTAGTTGTGGGTCCTTCTAGTTGTGGCAAAATTACTTTTAAATTCTTTGTTTTCACCTAAAACACACAGAATTTACCTTTTATGGAAAAAGACATTACAAGATAGAGATGGAAAGGGCGAGTTGGAAGAGGAAGAGTATAGCCAGGCATGATCATTTTAATTGAATCCTTTTGGTCTGGATGTAAGGTGGGCAACTAGAGCTTACAGTAGAAGAAAAGCAATGAGAATAATGCCCTACTCCCACCCCCAACACACACACACTCCTGTCCTCTGCCTGGCCATACTCTCTGTTAGATATTACTGTAAGAAGAAAAGAAATGACAAAGGAAGCCTCAGAATGGCTTTTCCCCCTCTGTGAAATGGGGAAACAAAAGGAGTAGTTAAGCTACCAAAACAATAGATTAAAAAAAAAAAAGCAGGCAAGAAAGAGTACTCTGGTTACCGCTGTACATTTAGGATCTAGAAGCACTGATGCTTTTTATGTCTCTTGTCTTTAGTCAAGAAAGGAACTGTTTCTTAACCGTGTCTCACACAATTAAGTTACATAAAGGGGGCCAGCCCCAGTGGCCTAGTAGTTAAGTTTGGCACCCTCCACTTTGGTGGCCAGGGTTCAGTTCCTGGGCCTGGACCTGCACCCCTCATTTATCAGTGGCCATGCTGTGACAGTGGCTCACATACAAAATAGAGGAAGACTGGCAACACATGTTAGCTCAGGGCAAATCTTCCTCAGCCAAAAAAAAAAAAAAAGTTACATAAGGGAAATGGTGGAAACTATGTTTTGAAAAATCATTGTCTTATTTTTCAATAAAAATGATGTTGGTGAATTGCCATTTAATCAATAATACTAACATAATTTTTATTTTTATTGATGAAAAATTCAAACTTAAAATAATTATTTCCATCACAATGTTTGCTCCCAAATTTTTAGCAGAAATACCATTGTACCTTAATATTTATATTTGTCTTCTGGCGTTTTTTTCTACTGCTGATATAAATTTTGAAGAAGTACAACTTATCTCTCAGAGCTGCTATGTGGGTGGGTCATCTCTGAAATGGTGTTTCTTCCTGTCTGTTTTTATTCAGTTTGTCATCTTTAATATCTAGTTAGGGAAATAATACAGTGCATAAAGTCACCTGAGGAAATTTCATTTGTTCTCTCATCTTCTCTCTCTAGTCTGTGACACTGCATACAGATGTAGGTGATATTAAAATAGAAGTCTTCTGTGAAAGGACACCTAAAACATGTGAAGTGAGTACCATTATGTACATTAAAAAGTGAGTTAATATAACAGGATGACCATTTGAAATTGAATCATCTAACCTAAAAAAACAATATCAAAAAAAACTTTTCTATAAAACCATCGTCAGGAAAAACCAGCCATCTTAATTTCTGGCCTAATTTCCACTTACCTTCCTGATGTCAAAGGTGGATCAAAGAAAGGGTAGATAATTTTTCTCTAACCATAGAGTGACTGGTATCTTTCTTTTGGCTCATTTTCCTCAGGAAACCTAAATAATCATTAGGTATTACATAAGAGAACTATTCCATCCATTATTTCACTTGTTTAAATCAGCTACAGTCATTCCCTCAACAATTGTAGGTTATAGGCCAGCATCTTGGAATATAGTGATGAACAAGAGACATCATGGAGTTTGGACATTGTGAGCATTGCCTTCATGTAGCTAATATTTTGGCTGAGAAAACAGGTAGGGGGGAAAATTCATTATAGAAAAAAAGTAATTCTAGAGGGTGATAATGCCTTGAAGGAAATAAAGTGTTGAGATCAAGAATAATGGGAAAGGAATTATTTAAAAGCAGGTGAGGGCAGGCCTAGCCAAGAAAGTGATACTTAAACCTAGTGTGAAAGGTAATGCAGGCATCTCCGTGGAAAAAGATATAAAAAGAACATTCCAGATATAGAGATGGCAGGTGCAACGGCCTCCAGGTGGGGAAGCCTGCCTATTTGGGTGAATTTTCAGAAGGCTGGTGGGGTTAGCATGGTTAGCAACAGGGAAGGGGTTATCCCAGGAGATGCAGAGCTGGATCAGGTCATGCGGGGCTTGTTAGGATCTGCTGAGGATTTTGTGTTTTATGCCAAGAACAGAAGGAAGCCATTCAAGTGTTTTAGGAGGGGAGTGACATCATCCAAAGTAATGTCTAAAAGACATAGTTTAAATATGCTATTATAGTGTTTTCAGTAAAGTCAATTGGTTCTTTATCTTAAATGCATTTCTGTTATATCATTTCTCAATGATTATTTTTACTCTCTTCAGAATTTCTTGGCTCTTTGTGCCAGTAACTACTACAATGGCTGTATATTTCATAGAAATATCAAGGGTTTCATGGTTCAAACAGGAGATCCAACAGGTAAGTTATTCCATTCATATCTAGGGAATTGGGTATATAGTGTGAAAAAGAAGGTAGACAAAGAATAGAAAAATAAAAGCATGCGGAGTTTTTATAACTGGGCTACCTTACCACAGCAAGAAACTTTTAAGCAGAAGCTACTGGCACCTAGCCCGAAAATATGACAGCTATTGATAAGGAGGGTTTTTGGTTTCTGTAGAGATATTTTATTTTTTTGGCCTGTAAAGTAAAATTTTGGGAAGGAAGAGAGGCCATATCAAATTTTATTTGTATATAAAGAGTTATACTATAAACTAGCCCTTAAGTTTTAGAAAATGAACACTTTTCAACTTTAATTAGAGACTTCTTTTGTTTGTCTTGTAATATAGGGACTGGAAGAGGAGGTAACAGTATCTGGGGCAAGAAATTTGAGGATGAATACAGTGAATATCTTAAGGTATAACCCTAGTGCTTCAAAATTGATTTTCTCATGCCTTATTTACATTTGGAAACTTTGATACATGTATTGTAGTAACACAAGTTAATGTCATCAGTAAACAAATATACTTTTTTGTAGTTTTTGCACACTTGATAAATGATGTCAGGGAGAAAATACAAATTATCAGTTCTAGCCTAAAATATATAATGGAATCTCACCATTACATGGATCTTCATATTACGTGAGCTAATCTTTGGGTCCAACCTGAAATGTTTAATCAGTAATGCATCAGAGGAGCTTAATGTCTCACATAAAATTCATGTTTTATATGAATCATTGGCCTTTTCTGAGAGTGGGGAGGAAAGACTGTCAGACCTTCTGGTTGCAGTATTGTCCATTATCAGTTTCCAACTTTTATCATCTTCTGTTAGATGTTTGAATATTCCTCTATTAACTTTACCTAATGCCTGTGGTACATCTCAACTAGGTGAAAGAGATGTGTGTATAAATAAATCTTCAGCATGGTAAAATTAGGGATTTTTATTTCCTTTTCATATTTTTTCTGTATTTTTCAAACTTTCTAAACAATCTTCTTTTTGTCTAAAATTGAAAAACTAATGCATGCCAGTTTAAAAAGAAAATCAGTTCCACTTCCCAGAGATGACATCAGTTAATTTATCATATGGTCTTTTAAATTTTCTATCTGCATAGAATGATAACTTTATAATTAGAAAAAAAGAGAGAAATTCTCCTCAATCAGAATATGTAATTTAGTATATTGTATTTCAGTTACGTTAAAATATACCCAGCAGGGCCGGCCCTGGTGCCTAGTGGTTCAGTTCAGTGTGCTCCGTTTTGGTGGTCCAGATTCAGTTCCCAGGTGCAGACCTACACCACTCGTCTGTCAGTGGCTGTGTTGTGGTGGCAGCTCACATACAAAAACAGGAAGATTGGCAGCAGATGTTAGCTCAGGGCAAATCTTCCTCAGCAAATAAATAAATAAATAATAAAATATACCCAGCAAAAGTTCTGAAAAAAATTCATTACAGTGTTTATCTCTGGATGGTGGGACTAGGAGTAATTTATCTTCTTTTTGCTTTTCTATCATAAAGCGATATTACTTTTGTTATATTGAAGTGTCCTTTTCCTGAATTAGAAAAGAAATAATTTCTTAGGCATTAATTAATGACTGCCTCCATAACACTAATCTGTCATCCTATACCAGTGGTTTTCAATCTTGGCTGTTACAGACTCATCTGTGGAAGTTTTAAAAATACAAAAGATTAGAGCCTTACCCCACTAAATCTAGAGAAAAAGAGTCAGTAGGACTGATTAGAACCTTCATTATATTCTAAGGTTCCCTGGTGATTCCTACACAGCCAGGAACCATTATTTTACATACCAGAGTTGAGAATGTATGTTGAATATTCACGTACTCTGACCCAATGTTACATTCGCAAATGCTTAGCCTAGAGAAACTCTTGTACATGTGTACCAGGAGACATGTACAAGAGTGTTCCTAGAGTACTACTTGTAATAGCAAAAATCTAAATCAACCCAAATGTCCATTGATCATAGAGTGGACAAATTGTAGTATATTCAGTAGTAGAATATTATACAGCAGTAAACAATCAGAACCACAGCTACATATACATGTGTGAATCTAAGAAACATAATGTTAAGTGTAGAAAGCATTTCTCAGAAGACTATAGATAGTATGATACTATTTTATAGACCTCAGAAACAAGCAAAAGGAAACAATATATTGTTTAAGCATGTATAAAGATATTAGAACAGTGGTTACCTCTTGGAGAGGCTGAGGTAATAGCTGAGAGGAGCACACAGGCTTATGCAACAATTCGTAAATTTTCAGTCTTAAAGTTTGGAAATTGGTTAATGGGTGCTTATTTTATTAATCATAAGTAGTACATATATTCTTATCTATGTATGAAATACTCTTTTTGATGGAGGTCACCTTTTAGGCACACAATAAAGCAGTAATATCTTGATGTGACTGCATCTCTATGGATTGTCTCATTGGTGGTGTCCCCTGATGAATAGCTAAGATAGTAATCATTGGAGTTACTTGTAGTGTATTTTATATCTGGGCACCTCCCTATACTATGGTTGTGTCACGTCTTCAAGCTTATCAGTAAAGTCCTTTTAATTCCTGTACACAGTCCCTTACATAACAAATAGAATCATGAACATTAGAGCTAGACAAGACCTGCCTTAGATCATCCAGTCATGGGGTTATAAACTGACCACTCGTGGGTGGAAGACCTACGCATGCATTCTCTGTGGCCACTGGTTAAAAAAATTTGTAGGGGCTGGCCCCGTGGCCGAGTGGTTAAGTTCGCGCGCTCCGCTGCAGGCGGCCCAGTGTTTCGTCGGTTCGAATCCTGGGCGCGGACATGGCACTGCTCGTCAGACCACGCTGAGGCAGCGTCCCACATGCCACAACTAGAGGAACCCACAACGAAGAATACACAACTATGTACCGGGGGGCTTTGGGGAGAAAAAGGAAAAAATAAAATCTTTAAAAAAAAAAAAAAAAAAAAAAAAAATTTGTAAAGGTCAGGAGGCAAGAGATACACTATTCCTTTTGCCAGACTCCACCACTCCGTGATGTTTACATTCTCCCCAAGTGTCAATTTATTATCTGCTGACCCTTGTGAGCATTTGGATTACAAATAAACCCCTGAACTAGTCCAACCTCCCTTGTTTTACAGATAAAGAAACTAGCCAGAGTCCAGTGTATGTGTGATGAGATTATGCGGATTTTGGTTTTGTTATCTGCCTGATCGTTTCATGCCAGCACACTGTTCCTTAATATAAATGTAAGGATTATTTCCATTACACATTGGTATTGCTAAAAGTGTTGGTGGCTGTACTTCTCGCAAAATGAAAATGAAATTAATTGGGGAATATGATTTGATGTATAAACAATTTATATACAGAGATACAGATAATACAGAAACTGAACATTTGGGTTAGCCCTAATAGAGAGAAGCTGATGAAATGTTTCCTTGCTTCCTCAAATAGTGGGAAGGTAAAGAGCGCATGTCTTGTGTCAGTCCTATATTTGGAATATTTATATAAAAAGTTAAATTAATACTTTGGTCTGTCTTTTTCAGCACAATGTTAGAGGTGTTGTATCCATGGCTAATAATGGCCCAAACACCAATGGATCTCAGTTCTTCATCACCTATGGCAAGCAGCCACATTTGGACATGAAATACACAGTATTTGGGAAGTGAGTATTCTGGTTAAGGTTTTCTTCCTTGGAATTTCAATGCAAAGGATGTATATGAGTGGCTGTGATAGTAGCATAACTAATATTGAAAGAGCAGTATGAGAGCTAAAAATATCTGGAATTTAAGTCCACCACTCACCAGCACTGTGACCTTGGGAAACTTACAGCCTCTCTGAGCCTCAGTTTCCTTATTTTGTAAAAGAAGGGCATGTACTGTTTTTTCAGGATTGTTATGCAAGTTAATAGTAACATATCTGTTTTCATTAAGAAGAGCATCTTGCAATAACATCTGAAAAACAGTGGCTTAAACAAGATGGACTGGGATGGTGGTTCCATTATGTCACCAATGTTCCAGGTGCCTTTGTCTTTCTTCTTGATCATCTTTAGCTTCCATCCTCAGGCTCACCTCATGGTAATAATGTGGGCGGCACAGCTCCAGTTGGAACATCTGTGTTCCAGGCAGAAAGGAGGAGGAAAGGCAGAAGGTCCTTGCCAGCTGAGTCAGCCACTTTCTAAAGAGCTTTCCTGGAAGACCCAGAAGTTAGCAGTGTGGCTTCCTCTTACCTCCAAGGGAGGGCAGGAGATGTTTTCCAGCTGGATGTACTGGCCCTCTCCATAAAATCAGGTTTCTGTGAGAAACGGGGGAGACTGGATCCTAGGGAGCGTTTAGCGTCTCTGCCAGAATATCCATTACAAGCACTATACCTGGGAATTGCTTTTATAAACCAAGAGGAGGTCAGTTTGTCAACAAATATTTACTATGCTCAGTAAACCAAGGCACAGTTCTTGAGTTTTATTTAACAGTTTGGATGCCAAGTTAGGTTAATTAAAAATAGAAGATGCCACAATTTTTTTCATTCGATATACTTATGTCTAATTTATAGAATAATCATCAATGACATTAATGAAATAGTACAGCCTTTATGTGAATAATCCTGGTTCTCTTCCTTTTATTTTCTTCCTTAACCCACCATTCAGAATTATCAATCAGTAATTACTAGGACTTATTTTATAGGATCTGTAACAAAACTGTAGCGTTTAGAACAAGGATTCTTAACCTTAGGTCCATTAACTCCCTGAAATTGTGTGTTTTTTGTATATGCACACACATTTTTCTAGGAAGATGGTACATAGCTTTCCACTGGTTCTCACAGGGGCCTGTGTCCCAGATGCCTGGCTAGACTGACTTGCCTCAGTTCTACATGCCCTTTTTTGCCTGAGATCTGTTTCCTGTATCCTCTGTTTCTTGCCCTTACTGACCCAGATGGTGAGAAAGTCTTTAAAACTTAGAATTTAAAGACCTTAACTGTCCTACATTTAGGAGTAAAATCAAAAGGTTTTGACTGTAGTGCCATTTTAGTGGAAATGCTAAATAAAATGTAAATCTGTTATCTTTTTTTTTTAAGTGCATACGATAAGTCTTGGGAATTGATTTGAGTTGCACTAAGAGGTATAATCTAAAAAGCCACCTTTTCTTAGCAAATGTTTTAGACTAACTTTCCAGAACATATTTAAAGAATAGCTCTCAATGTGGTTTTCCTTGGTGGAAACATGAAGTGGGCTTGCTGGAAGGAGGCTTAACTGTCTATCTTCTCTTCTCCTATTTTTATTATTATCGCTTTTCGATGTCATCCAGAAGCAAAAAGTCAAAACACCATATTTAAACAATAAAGTACAAAGTGGCCACCCTCTTCAAGACGTTCCGTGTAGGGCAGTACTGATAATAGTGTCATCCTTACACACTTTCTCTGGGTATTTCCTATAGCAATGAAAATCTTACTACTGGTTGTATTGGCCCCATTTGTAGCTATGCTGTGTGAATGGGGCAGAACACAACCTTTAGATACTTAGGTGGAATATTCCTATCTATTGCTACGGTTGTCTAAAGGCATAAAAATGAATTTTTGTTTCTGAATTTTGGCCCATATCTATGGCAGAAAATCAAATCGGTAGTTTATTGTACACTCACTTAGGCAATTCAAAGAACTATGAAACATGGTCCTTTTCTCTTAAGGGGACTATCATTGATATAGACATTTGGATATTATGTTTCAATCTGAGGAAATTTTCATACATTCTGTCATTTCTCTTTCAGGGTAATAGATGGTCTGGAGACTCTAGATGAACTGGAGAAGTTACCAGTAAATGAGAAGACATATCGACCTCTTAATGATGTACACATTAAGGACATAACTATTCACGCCAACCCATTTGCTCAATAGCTATAATAGACCTGGACAAATATTTGGCAAACTATTCAAGCAACACACCCATTGTGGTTTACCCAGTTTTAATTATGTCACAGATTGCATCATCTTTCTGCTTGTTTACAACAAAGATCTTCTATGAGTTGGTCATACCAAGGGGAGCCAAACAACTTTTACTCCCATTCTTAGAGCATATTTTTTACTATAACTATTATCCAATGTATTTCCTTAAGTTAAAAAAAAAAACCCTCCTGTTTAATTTTTATTACATGTAAACATTTATTTTTAAATGCTGAACCTCAAATCCAGGCATTTTTGAACACCTTAATTACATACTCCTACCATATCTAGTCCACATCCTGGAAGTATTATTTTCCATTAATTATTCACTTTCTGCAGGTGGAAAGAGGAAGGAAAAGATAAAGAAATGATCTAGAAAGGCCAGCTACTCCATTTGTTATTTTCTCTGGTCTTTAGATTTACAGTAAAGGCCGAGAGAAGTCCTGGATTACAGTAAACACTCAACTTTCCATGGAACATTTTTCTAAAGCATATCTTTTAAAATATTGCAGGACAGAGTTCTAAAGATGATCCATTTGAAAAATGCAAGGAGTTGGTTAAGAGCAGAAGTTGTAGGGTCCTGGTCTGTGTTTGAATTATAGTTCTGCCCCCTACTAGTAACTTTAGACAAGTTAACATCTCCAAGCTTTATTTTTCTCATCTATAAATAATATTCCCGGGGCCCGCCTGGTGGCACAGTGGTTAAGTTCGCATGTTCCACTTCTGGGCAGCCCGGGGTTCGCTGGTTCGGATCCCGGGTGTGGACATGGCACCACTTGGCATGCCATGCTGTGGTAGGCGTCCCACATATAAAAGTAGAGGAAGATGGGCATGGATGTTGGCTAGGGCCAGGTTTCCTCAGCAAAAAAGAGGAGGACTGGCAGTAGTTAGCTCAGGGCTAATCTTCCTCAAAAATAAAAATAATAATAATAATATTCCCTCATGACACTATTGTGAGGATTAAATGAAATCATGTGTAAAGCTTCTGGATGTAGTAAGGGATCTGTAGTGAGTAAATGGAAGCTGCTCTCCTGCATTATTTCTACTATAGGGCTCTCACCTAATCAGGCCATTTATCAGACCCTACCATTGATTTCATCAAGAACCATGTTCTTCTCACTGCCTAGATCACCTTGATTAGATTTAGGGTATTCCTAAAACTGATAACATTTCTTGGTTTGTCTCATTTCTGCAGATGGCTGGTCTAATTAATGTTTTGATTCTTAACTGTAGTTTGGGAGTTAGCTTGCAGCTGTCCTCTTGTTACAAGCATCTATACCTCCCACTAAACTGAAGTGCTAGTTCTACTAATGCCCTCATGCTTTGTTTCACCCTTTTAACTTAATCATTTAGTTTCTAGAAATATTAAAGCCTCTTTTTTGGCCAGTTTGTTTTGCCACTTGTTATACCTGATCTCTTCCTTCTCCAAACATTGAATTTTTTTGTCATCACTCTTGAGAGGCTTTTACTGATGGTCAAGATGTTTTTGTACTGATGGGCGTTCTCTCAACTTTTATTCTAAACTTGGCCATTTTTTTTTCAGTGGTGCCAATATGGTGACTTTTTGGTTCTTAGAGCTCATTCTAATAATGTGTGCTCAGTTATAGCCATAAAGATCTCATAGATAGGGAGGTATACTGGCTGCCCACCTTGGGCCTATGGTAGGCACTAGGAGAATCAAGATCCAAACACTGATTTCTGTCCACTCCCAGTGGGTTGACTGGTTCACATTAATCACATCAGCAGTTGGGTGACTGATGTTCTGTTCCATGTATTAATTGGCAGTAAGTATAAACCACTAAGACTGGAATATTGCGGATCAACCCAAATTCTCTTTACAAAGAAAGCAATGTGGTTTCCCATCTAGACCCGAGGTTGGCAATATACAGCCCTCAGACTGGCCACCTATTTTTGTAAATAACATCTTGGAACTCAGCCATTCCATTTATTTGTGTATTGTCTCTGGCCGTTTTGTGCTAAAACAGCAGTATTAATTATCTGTGATAGAGACCAAATGGCCAACAAGCCTAAAATATTTACTGTCTGGCCTTTTAAGAAAAAGTTTGCCAACCCTTGATCCAGAAGTTGCCAGATAATCATGATTTCACAGCAAAGGAAGGTGGATGAGCTTAAGGGACAGTATAGTCAAACGATGCCTGAAACCTCCTTCACCAGTCTAGAATTGTACCTGCACTTAGGCATTAGAATATTTGGATCCTGTTAGACCTTGGTTTGGAGCTCTCTGTTGCGTAGACGGCTTGAAGACTTTTTGGTTAATGGCAAATTGAACAGTTAACAATTTATACCCTGGTTGAACTTGGGAATTTCCAAATCCACTTAGCAACACATTTATAAGCTCTCTCTGCTGGGTATTTCTGAAGACATGTATTCTCATCTATTTTTGAACAGCTAAAACTAGTCCAGGCATACCTTGCTTTATTGTGCTTTGCAGATAGTAATTAATTTATTGAGGTTCTTCCAGGCTTGGATACAAAGGTGCTTTGGACACTGCCTGCTCTGCAGGAGCGCAGTCTAAGGAAATAACAGACATGTAATTAGATAAATTAGAATACACAGAACTTTTCATCAGTTCAGCAAAGTGGTTAGATTAGTTACTGTTTCACTAGTGAATTGAAAAGAAAACTGATCATTCTTTTCCATTAAATCCTATTTCCAATTGTGGTAGTAGAGGTAGGGATGAGACTTGATATAATACTTCTAAAGCAAATCTAGAAGAATAAATGATAATGGTAACCATGAAAAAGGGATTAGCCCCAATCTTTATAATGCTGCAAATATTAAAACTATGATGGGGTGGGGGATAAGGCTAGAATAATAGAACAAGAGTATAAACAGTATTATTTATATAGGAGGTTAATATATAATTAAAGCAGTATCCAAAAACATTAAAAAATAGAAGGATTACTCCATAAATTGTGTTAGGGTAAGTGATAAATGATATGGAGAAAAATAGCAAAAGAATTTCACTTCACACATCACAAAATTCCAGATAAGTTTCCTTTTTAAAGAAAACAGGAAAACTTAAAAACATTTTAGAGAATTCCTCTGAAAAGAATTTCTCAGTTTACAAACATGACAGAAGTAAAGATGGAACAGCTTTAACTACATGAAAATTGAAAACTTTACAATTAAAAAACAAAAGGACAAAGAACTGTACATTCAAAAAAGTAATGAGGTGTGAATGTGTCAAGTCACAAGAGAAGAGGAAATGTTCAAATTCATTAATTAGAAAATAAAGTTTCAAGTTTCGTTTCCACCACAACTTTTTTTTAGCGTTATACACTATATTTGTCAGGGCTGTAATAACAGTACCAGACACTGGGTGGTTTATACAACAGGAAATTCCTTCACACTTCTCGAGACCGGAAGCTGGGAAATCAAGGTGTGCGCAGGGTTGTTTACTTAGAGACCTCGCTCCTTGGCTTGCGGATGACCATCTTCTGTCTTTAAATGGTCTTTGCTCTGTACATGTCTGTATCTTAATCCCTTTTTATAAAGAAACACCAGTTACTGGATTAGGGCCCACCCTAATTACCACATTTAATCTAATTCTCTCTGTTAAGGCCCTATTTACAAAGTCACATTCTGAGCTAGTGGGAGTTAGTACTTACACATGAATTTGGGGGGTTATAGCCCTCCAAACAGCCCATAACACGCACAGAAGGACACACTAAAATAGTTGATTTCATAAATGAGACTTTGGGTATATCCCAAGTTAACGATTGGCTGGATTTGGGCTTTGCTAATTTTAAAACCAGTCTGGAAAGCAATTTTGGCAATATGTACAACGTTTTTTTCAACGTTCATTGTCGCTCATCCTGTAATTTTAGTGTAGGGATCTCTCCTAAAGAAATTATTTAAACCCCCTAAATTGCTCTGCACACAGTCGTCCACCGCGGCCTTTACCTGTAACAGCAGAATACGCGCGATGCCCATCTCGTGCACCGTAGTTAGGGTCTGTGAGAACCTATGCACAGGGCTGCGCGGTGACGGTCAGTAGCTTCGTCCTCCTGAGACCGGGATTCCGTAGGTTTGCTTAATTAAACGTGCTGCTACCTGCATCCTGAACAGCTATCCATTTCCCGGGTTACTGTGACGAATTTCTCCCTTTTTACCTTATATTTAGTGGTCCTGGCCTCGATGTAAGGATTTAGGTATTAATGGTTTCAAGCACTTTCAAATCCTTTAAGGGGCTTAAGAAATGCAAACCACCATAGGAATTTTGGGAACGTGTTTTCCTCATCACGTTACCCCACAATCGTTGTGCATCTGTACAGGGCAGGTTATCTGCGTTGTTCTCCTGTGCAAACATGACCAGTAAAATTATGCTTTATCGTAATAGGTGATAATTTTATGTGCTTCCGACTAAGTCTGGAACGAGTGAGGATGTTTTTCAAGTGACAAAACGGAGGCGGGCGGGGCGCGGGGGTCGGGATCGGCACCTCGTTCCGTCAAACCGCAGGCGGACGACTGTCGTCGTTCAGAGGCTGTTCCCCGACGCTCGTCTTGTCCTCGCGCCCTCCGCGCCTCCGGGCGCAGTTATTCGGCCTGAACACTCAGGCCCCCCAGGGAGGGAACGTCGTCTGACTTCCTGAGTCCAGCTCCTGCTCACTCATTAAACTTTTAATTCAAACTTTCGGAAAATCTTTCCAAACCAACGTCAGTGCGTGTGGGTCCCAGCCAAGAATGACTTAACTAGGTTTAAATACGTCTCAGACCCTTAGCGAACGCCCAAATCAAGACAACTACTACGTGGGGCTATTTGACGCAGGTAATTTTTTTAAGCATCCTTTTAGTAGTTACAATCCGGGCGCAGGCTATTTTGCACCCTGCTTCCCTCGCTGTTCTTGTTTCTGGCGTTCACAAATACGGCTTTTAATGGGCAGAGACGAGGCTGCCCCCCACTACCTGACGTGTTTTCTCAGAGCGAGCCAACATGGCCGCCGTGAGGCCCTTCCTCGGTCCTCCTCCCCGCTGCCAGCTCCCGACCCGGCGCCTGCGCACGAGGCCGCCGCTCAGGCTCCCGACGCGGCGCCTGCGCACTCGGCGCCCACACGCGCCGTCCCAGCCCCTCCCGCGGGGACGCGCTGTTCGCCCCGCCCCTCGGCGGAGACGCGCTCGCAGCGTCACCGGTGTTTTCGAGCAGAGTCTCGACGCTGCGGCTGTCAGCTCCATTTTGTTGTCGGAGCTCGTCGCGGGCGGCCACGTCTTCTCCGTGGTCGCGTTGCAAATTTTGTCGCTTTCGGCTTGGGCTCTCTAGCCAAGACGGTAAGACGCAGGAGGAAGCCGGCTAGGTGCCGGGGCCGTCTTTCTGTGGCTCGAGAGCGCACGGAGATGCCCGTCTCCGGGCTTGTTTGCCCCCCGCTGTCTCCGGCCTGACGGCGCCTTCCCCGTTCCCCCGGGCTGCACGGAGGCGGCCGGCTGGTCCTCCCTGCTCCGCTATGCCTTCGCCGCGGCGCCCTGGCGGAGGACGGTGGCAGTGCTGGCTGGGCGGGGAGCTTCCCGACCTTCGCCTGCCTGGGGGCGGGGAGGCCCGCGCCAGTCTGCGGGCGCCATGTTGTCGGCGGCGGCCTCGGCCGCGCTGTAAGATGGCGGCGGGGGGCGGAGCCGCGGGCGGCGGAGGCGGTGTTTGCTTGGGTTCTGGAATGTGCGTGAGTCACGCTCGTGAGGAACGGTGTTCGCAGCAGAGAGAGAGGAGGGCGGAGCGCGTTGGTCGGGTGGAGGGCCGTGTCGTCTGTCGTGTGGTGGAGCCTCAGGAGTGGAGGGAAATTGGCGGTGTCTCCCCTGGTGGTGCTGAGCGGGCGCGCGGGCGGGGTCGGGCGGCCGGCGGTTGTGTGCAGGAGCTGCGCGCCCGGGGTGGGGCGGCCGGGGAGCCGGTGGAACGCTTTGATTCCTCCGAGTGTGGGCGCGGGCGGCGAGGCGCTGCGTCTGTGTAACGTCCTTCCCAAGTTGGGCGTTTGTGTTCGAAGCCTTTCTGAGAGGAAGGTGGCTCGCCCTCCCCCGAACTGCGTCAGCTTGCCCTTAGCGGGGCTCGGTGTCCCGAGGTCCGCGCTGGGGCCTGGTACGCAAAGGCCGGGGTGCCATAGTTGTGTTTCTGTTGCTTCGTCGCTTGCTGTGTGCAGTGGAAGGCTCTGGCAGTTGGATCGATTGACCTCCTTTACAGAAATGTAGTGTTGGTTGTGTTGCGGAGAACATCTGTGATTGCTTATGAGTTGGAGGCCGGTTTCTGAGACACATTTAAATGGGGAGAGTTACGGGGACCTATAGTAAATTTGTGCTGCTGGCAGGAAAGGAGTAAGATTTTGCCAAAATTGATAAATTGGGATTTCCACCCCCACTCCTTTTTTACTTTTCCCGAGTTCTTGCAATAAATCCGAGCATGACGTGGAAAGTGCGGAATGTCTGTGACGAAAGGTCAGGCTCAAGTTATGGGACAACCCAATCCTGGGTTTATCAGTGACTTCAGATTGGGTACCATTGACTTTTGGACTTCGATTTGAAAGAAGAATTTAAAACTTCACAACTAGAGTGAATTTGCAAAGAGTGTAATTAGGCTGTTCAGTGTTGACACGTGGGGCAGCATTTAACTGGGAAAAATTTGTCTTTTGTGTAGATGAGACACTCGAAAAGAACTTATTGTCCTGATTGGGATGAAAAAGATTGGGATTGTGGAAAATGGAGGAGCAGTAGCAGTCATAAAAGAAGGAAGAGATCACACAGCAGTGCCCGGGAGAACAAGCGCTGCAAATATAATCACTCTAAAACATCTGATAGGTAAGGAGCATAAAGTGTCTCACTATAAAAATAGGTTTTCTCTCCAATGCTTTGTGTCGATTATATCTCAGTAAAACTAGGGAACAATACATTTTCATGATTAAAACTAGTATTAAAATTTAGCCTGATCACCATTCCCTTTTCCAGTGATGGCTTGTAATGGTTGATAAAATCGTGTGGGGTTTGTTTGTGTTTTGGTGGAGAAAGCATAAAATGTTACTAGGGTTACTGTCTTAAGAGGTTTACTGAGAATTTGAGGCTATTTGGTATTAACATAGAGCATTGAGAAAATATTTAATTTTTCTAGCTATTATTTGGAAAGCAGATCCTTAAATGAGAAAGATTATCACAGTCGACGCTACATTGATGAATACAGAAATGACTACAATCAAGGATGTGAACCTGTACATCGCCATAGAGACCATGAAAGCAGATATCAGAATCATAGTAGCAAGTCCTCTGGTAGAAGTGGAAGAAGTAGTTATAAAAGCAAACACAGGATTCACCACAGTACTTCACGTCATCATTCACATGGGGTATGAGCTCTTTTAAAACATCTTGAAAATTTTATTTCCCATGTGGAACAGGAAAACTGTTGAATTTGTGCTTGATCATTTGAGAAAGTTTTGTTTAAGATGAAGTCATGCTAATTTTAACTTGCAGGATTTTTCAGTGTTTGTGCATTTGATAGGAAATTCCTGAAATAGAATACATGTTTAGCTATGTAATAACAGATTTTATTACTAGTTGGCAGCTAATTGTCATTCCAGTGAAAGAGTGAAAGTAATTAATTTAGGTTAGTTTAGAGCAGTGATTACAAAATATTCTGAAAGATTTTTTTGTGGTACTTCCAGAGTTCTGATTTGTTTTGATAAATTGAAGCTCTTATCACAAAAATAGAATAGACATTTTATTTTTGTATGATTGAGGATTAGGCATGCCTGTGTTCTCGCAAAGCATGCTCTAATCCTTTTTTCACTAAACAAACCACTTAACATATTTGAACATTATGGGTTATGTGTTAATTTGCAGATCAGCTCAGATGACATTTAAAATGCCACAGTGTTATTAAATGCCGAAACTTTTTCTCCCTAAAATTAGGACTTTAATTTTATTTACTGTTTTGATAATTTGTTTTCGTAGATTAGCTAGGAAATCTTAATTTGGCCACTTTGACAAGTAAATACTACATCCTACAATTTTGCAACATTAAATTAGGACACTAGAAACTTAAAATTATGTTTCAGTGAATACAACTAAGCATTTTTTTAAAAAAGAAAAACAATTGTATTATGTTTTGTTGCCTTGCCACTTTGAGTATCTTATCTGAAAATCTGTTCCTTGCCATGTTTTTCTCCTGTTAACATAAACTATGTGCCCTGTGAATTTCTGGGGACTGAATTTGAAATTGCTCCTGCCAACCGTTTGTGGCCTGGCGTGTATCTGAATGCCTGAATATCTCCCCGCTGAATGAATTTCGTATTCTGCCCTGAATTCACTCGGGTATATTGATTGGCTGGATGATCTTGGTGCCGCCCACTTGACGTTTCCAGAAGAGTCACCGAAGGAAAAGAACCAGGAGTGTAGAGGATGATGAGGAGGGTCACCTGATCTGTCAGAGTGGAGACGTACTAAGTGCAAGATGTATAGAATATTTTTCAACACTTATTAACTTTTCAGATAACATAATCTATATATAGATTAAGATTTCAGGGATTTGGAAATCTTTTTCTTTCTCTGTTTTTTCTGTTCTGTTTTATTTTGTTTTTTCCATTTCTTTTGGTGGGGGGGGATTGTGTTTTTGCTTTCTTTAGAAGTTTAATGTTTGTTATGCAAAACTTCCAAAACAGTAAATCAAGTTAATGAAATTAGCTTAAGAATGAAATTAGACCTAAACATAGTTATATATGTTTTTTGATGGTGTTCACCGATAAAATATCTAGTGATAAAGAAATTTGTAGCATCAAATAGAATAATCTGCATTGATAGCATTTATTATGATAAGTAAACTGTTTCCACTTCTTGGTATGACTGAGATTTATTTCTCTCTTTTAGATGAAATTGTTGATACTTTAGGTGAAGGAGCTTTTGGAAAAGTCGTGGAGTGCATTGATCATAAAGCGTAAGTTTTCTGGCGCAGGATTGCACTTGGGAGGTCAACAATATAGAAAATTTATTTAGCTTTAGATTACGTTCTGACTATGAGTTAGATAAATTGTTATACAGTCATGTGTCACTTACCAACGAGGATATGTTCCGAGAAATGCGTTAAGCGATTTTATCATTGTGTGAACTTTATATAGTGTACTGACACAAAGCTAGATGATGTAGCCTTCTACGCACACAGGCTACGTGGTACTAATCTTATGGGGCCACCATCATATATACTGTCCATCATTGACCAAATCGTCATTATGCAATGCATGACCATACCATTTTAGCTTGAGATTTTCACTTTGATGTAGGAAACTCCCAGTAAAAGGTACTAGCCCTTTGTATTTTTAAGCAGTAGCTATTAATAGTGTGTGTAGCCTGTCATACCAGTTTTCAGCTGAGAACGAATTATCTTGTTTCAGAAGGTATTCTTTCGTTGTCCTACTGGGCAGGAGCTGTGGCCATCAATTTTTTCCTAGTTCAGTGATTCTCAGCCTTGGTTTTATATTAGGAGTCTTTGGAGTTTTGCTTATCCCAGACATATTGAAGCAGTCTTCACGGTAGTTTATGTGTGACCTTCAAACTACTGATTGAAATTTAAAATAGTACAAGAAATTTTGCCTTTCCCTTTTTTGCCCTGTTGAATTTTTTTTTCCTTTGTAATGGCAAAGCTTTTCTAAATGACTTATTAGAGAGTGCTTCCTACTCTTGATTGATAAAGTTCTGAGAGCTTGAGTTCTTTATTGTGACCCCATCATATGCCAACTTTCCTGGTAACCTGGACCAAAGGAAGATTTGGTAGAATATTTGCTAGTGACAGGAAGAAACTGCTTTACGTACATTTGTCTTGCATCTTACTTGGAATGCAAATTGGGGTGGTAATATCCCAGTATTCTTTTTAAGTTAGAACGGTTGATACGTAGTTTACTTGAAGGACCAAAAAATAATACATGTGAGTGGTGGTCTGATGAAAGAAATTTGTGTCATTCAATGTGTATGTGTATTACCAACCCTTACCATGTGCCCAAAGGTCATTCTAGTTGCTTACATAGAGTTGCATTTAGAAGAGAGTACTTCTATGTGATCAAACTGAGTACTAGACTGTAAATTCAAGAAAACAACCATGATGGGTCAATGTAGAAGTAGTACATTTTGAAGAGTGCTAGAAAAGTGGAATTGGATGTCTTTTTTTTTTCTTTTTAACTTGGATTTATTCTCTGTAACAGGGGAGGTAGACATGTAGCAGTAAAAATAGTTAAAAATGTGGATAGATATTGTGAAGCTGCTCGCTCAGAAATACAAGTTCTGGAACACTTAAATACTACAGACCCCAGCAGTACATTGTAAGTATCACAATAGAGCTTAGAAAATGGCCTCAGGTAGATTTGAATTGTGAAAAGCTGTACTCAGTTACTTTTCATATGTTTCTAGCCGCTGTGTCCAGATGTTGGAGTGGTTTGAGCATCATGGTCACATTTGCATTGTGTTTGAACTGCTAGGACTTAGTACCTATGATTTCATTAAAGAAAATGGTTTTCTGCCATTTCGACTGGACCATATTAGGAAGATGGCATATCAGATATGCAAGTCTGTGAATTGTAAGTACTTAGCCTATCTTTCAGAAATTTCAGTTTAAGGCTAATTTTTTTCCCCCTCTTCCCAAAGCCCCTCAGTACCTAGTTGTATATTTTAGTTTTGGGTCCTTCTAGTTGTGCATGTGGGATGCCGCCTCAGCATTGCTCAAAGAGCAGTGCTATGTCCACGCCCAGGATCCAGACTGGTGAAACCCTGGGCCGCCAAAGCAGAGTGTGCAAACTTAACCACAGCCACAGGGCTGGCCCCCTATTGAGACTAAGTGAACGCCATACTGACTGGGATCTTTCAGGAAAAGAAGGAATCTAAAATAATAGGACTTGGAAGCCTGACTTAAGAGTAGGCATGAGGAAGATGTAGCTGATTACAGGCTATTGGTCAGTTTACTGCATTTTATTAAGTAAATAATATGCTGTCCAGCATATAATAATATATTGTCATGTGGAAGACCTATAGCCTTTTTTTTGTTTGTTTGTTTGTTTTTTTGGAGGAAGATTAGCCCTGAGCTAACTGCCACCAATCCTCCTCTTTTTGCTGAGGAAGACTGGCCCTGAGCTAAAATCCGGGCCTCTACTTTGTATGTGGGACGCCTGCCACAGCATGGCTTGCTAAGTGGTGCCATGTCCAAACCCGGGAACCGAACTGGCGAACCCTGGGCTGCGAAGCAGAACGTGCACACTTAACTGCTGCGCCACCGGGCTGGCCCCAACTATAGCCTTTCTGATTCCTAAAATTATTAACCCAGAACCACTGGGTTAAAATTAAGGAATGGCAAATTTTAGCTTCATAAGAGAAAGGTATTTCTTTCTTCAGTTTTTAAGCAATAGCTGTCATTGGACTAATTTTTTTAAGGAGGGTATTCGATTTTAGTACGTGGTGGTTTTCTAGCAGGCTATTTGAATGTTGACCACTTACTTGGACATGTGGAAAAGGCATCAGAGAGGCTTTTTATTATAGGGCTTTTGGGTTTGGCTAAGTTTTTGGCTTTTGATTTTCAGATTACAGCAATTTTTTCTGTTTCATTCTCAGTTCTGCACAGTAATAAGTTGACTCACACAGACTTAAAGCCTGAAAACATCTTATTTGTGCAATCTGATTACACAGAGGCTTATAATCCCAAAATGGTATGTCTTCGATGTATTATCTTCATAATTTCAAATGAATATTTTATATCATCTTAATATTATGCCTAATTAACCATCATTTATAATTTTCAGAAACGTGATGAACGTACCTTAATAAATCCAGATATTAAAGTTGTAGATTTTGGCAGTGCAACATATGATGATGAACATCACAGTACCTTGGTCTCTACAAGACATTATAGGGCACCTGAAGTTATTTTAGGTAAGTATTTCTTAATTGTGCTTTGGAAACCTGTATATCTTTATTGAAGCTGACTTGAAAATTTATTTGTAGTTTTAAGTCTTATTTGTGGGACCTTTTGTCTTTTTCCTCTTAATGGGTTAGTGTAAAACACATTAAAGATTTTAAGCTTTTATTCCAAATAGCTCTGGGACTTTGAGTAGGTAGTAGCTTGACTTTTCTGGGGGTTTTTTTGTTTGTTTTTGGTTTTGGTTTTTGTTTTTTTGAGGAAGATTAGCCCTGAGCTAACTGCTGCCAATCCTCCTCTTTTTGCTGAGGAAGACTGGTCCTGAGCTAACATCCATGCCAATTTCCTCTGCTTTATATGTGGGATGCTTACCACAGCATGGCTTTTGCCAAGCAGTGCCATGTCCGCACCTGGGATCCAAACCGGCACACCCTGGGCCGCCAAGAAGCAGAATGTGCGAGCTTAACCGCTGCGCCACCAGGCCGGCCCAACCTCTCTGGAATTCAGTTTGCACGTTTGTAATATGTAGTGGGGTTTTAAAGATTTTATTTTTCCTTTTTCTCCCCAAAGCCCCCTCGTATATAGTTGTGTATTTTTAGTTGTGGGTCCTTCTAGTTGTGGCGTGTGGGACACCGCCTCAGCATGGGTTGATGAGCAGTGTCATGTCTGTGCCCAGGATCTGAACCAGCGAAACCCTGGGCCACCAAAGCAGAGCATGCAAACTTAACCACTTGGCCACAGGGCCGGCCCCTCTGGTGGGGTGTTAAAACAAATGTTTAGTGCTTTTTATATCCCAGACACTTTCCATGTCAGTCAGTCCTTGCATGGTCTAGATAGCTCCCGTTTTGCAGGTTAGAAAATTGAGGCTCATGAAAAACAAATGTTTTTGCCCAAATCATTAGTGAGGAAAGAGGTGAGCCAGAATTGGAACTCTAAACCAGATGTCATCAGAGCCCTAACTGTTACATACTCTGCTATTATATTACTTTTAATCTTGGATTGAGTGATTCCTTCAGGATCTTCCCAGCTCGAACTTCAAATTATATATGTTTTTTTAAATGTCTTTAAGAAATATTGAGGATTTTTTTCCCCTAACAGTTTATTTTGTTTTGCAGCCCTAGGATGGTCCCAACCATGTGATGTCTGGAGTATTGGATGTATTCTTATAGAATACTACCTTGGGTTTACAGTATTTCCAGTAAGTGACAGTGATCTGTTTCAGTGGTGTTATGACTGCTTTTAATGCAAAGTGTCCGCATTTGGGTAGCTTCGCCCCCTTCCCCCCATGATAGACTGTTAGTTGTAGATAAGTCTAAAGCAATAAGTATATTATCCTTGTTCATTCAAGAAAATCATTAGTGAGCTTCTGTAGGCCTTAGCATTCTTCATTGTAGCTGTAGTGTGCTGAAAGTATGCCTTTTTTTGTGATCATTTTCCTTGTGACCTCTCATCATCTATGGACTAGAAATCTAGCAGCTATGTTACATGAGAACAAAGCATAATGTGCAAGTAAAGTTGGTTAACAAGTTTTCTTTATTATTTTAGACACATGATAGTAAGGAGCACTTAGCAATGATGGAAAGGATTCTTGGACCTTTACCAAAACATATGATACAGAAAACCAGGTATGTTTTATTTAAGAATAAGTGCCATCCTTAGTACCACTTGATCACGTCTTCTGATTAGAACTTTATAAAATGAAGTCAGTCAGGCTAAGCTTAAGTAGCAGATTACCTTGCTGGGAACCCAGTAACTGTCTCTAGGCTGCCTTTTAAATCTCTAAAAACGTGTTTATCTTTGAGCTTTAAAAGTATAATTGGTGAAGCCATTCACCTTTGCTAGATGTTTAAGTTTGTGTTGTCAACATTATAAACATGAGTGGATATTGACTTACTCTTAGGAAACGTAAATATTTCCATCATGACCGATTGGACTGGGATGAACATAGTTCTGCTGGGAGATATGTTTCAAGGCGCTGTAAGCCTCTGAAGGTAAGCCTGGGTCATTGCTTAAATGATCAAAACTTTGAGCTACCCGTCTTTTCATGGTGGAGAAATAGAATTATAATTGTGGTAGTAGAAAAGGCTGATGACTATTTCTTTTCTTTTCAGGAATTTATGCTTTCTCAAGATGCTGAACATGAGCTGCTCTTTGACCTCATTGAGCAAATGTTGGAATATGATCCAGCTAAAAGGATTACTCTCAAAGAAGCCTTAAAGCATCCTTTCTTTTACCCTCTAAAAAAAACTATATAGATGTATAATTGTACAGCTCTTGAAGAGATCTTATAGACTGTATCAGTCTAGTTTTTAAGTATTAAGTTATTTTGTACAGCTTTTGTAAATTTAACATTTTTGTATTGCCGTGTTTATTTTGCTTAAATCATTTGATTTGTTAAGTAAATAGCTAAGTAAAGTAATGAACGTTTTTCAGTAATTAATGTATAAAATGATTTCTTCAGAATAAATTTTTTGTGTTTATGAAATTAACATGAATCTGCAGTTTGATTTTAGCACCATTTTTCTTTGTACCTCGGTCACTTTAAAAAATGAAAATATATTTCTCCTCTTGGAGGTTTCCTTATGGCTTTGGAAATACTGTGGCATTTCCATTTTAGGGATTGCCAACTTTGGGACTTAGGCCTTCCTTCTCTAAACCAAGTCTAATGAAACTAATTTACAGGATACAAAGAAGTAGAGATAAGTCAAGATGATTTCGTTCTCCCTGTATTCCTGTTCATAGTTAATACTGCTGCTTTCTTGTCTCCACCCTGAATGGGATTCGGCATATGGCTTAAGGTCCTGTGTTCCTTCAGGACTGATAGTGACAGAGAAGCTTCTAGAATCCTCTGCAGCCAAGTCTGAATTATTAAGTAGTATAGTAAGTCAGTTTTTTGTCTATGGTTTCATCTATAGGTTGATCCATTTATGACTATATAGTCTGGTTTTTGTTTTTTTTTAAGATTTTGCTTAGTTGTAAGTTCCCTGCAAAATTGAGAGGAAGGTGCAGAGATTTCTGATAGGCAGTCATATGCTGCATAATGACATTTTGGTCAACGATAGACTGTGTATACAGTGGTGGTCCGAGAGATTTAAAGTCATGCTATCTAGATGGCATAGCCTACTACACAACTAGGCTATATAGTATTGATCTTCTGGGACCACCGTTGTGTATGTGGTTCTTCGTTGAGTGAAATGTCCTTACATGTGACACATGACTAACACCATAAAGCCTAGGTGTGTAGTACACTGTACCATCTAGGTTTGTCAAAGTACGCTCTGATGTTTGCATGATGACAAAATTGCCTAGCAATGCATTTCTCAGAATGTGTCCTCATTGTGAGGCATGACTCTTTCTTGCCCTGACACATGCATAGCCTTTCCCATTATTAATATTCCTTACCAGAGGGTACATTTGTTAAAATTGATGAACCTGAACCTGCGTTGACGTAATTACCCCAAGTCCCTAGACTACGTTCGGCTTCACTTTTGGTGTTTTGTATTCAATGGGTTTGGATAAGTGAATAATGACATGAATCCATCATTCTAGAATACTGAGTATTTTCAATGCCCCCAAAAAACTCTGCTTTACGTATTCATCCTTCTGCCCCCAACTTCTGGCAACTGCTGTGACTTTCTTTGGCCAATGGAATGTTAGCAAATTGGCTCTAGGACACCACTTAAGAGGATAAGCCTCAAAGCCTAGAACACAGTTTTGTTTTGTTTTTTTTTTAAAAGATTTTATTTTTTCCTTTTTTTCCTCCCCAAAGCCCCCCCGGTACATAGTTGTATATTCTTCGTTGTGGGTCCTTCTAGTTGTGGCATGTGGGACGCTGTCTCAGCGTGGTCTGATGAGCAGTGCCACGTCCGCACCCAGGATTCAAACCAACGAAACACTGGGCCGCCTGCAGCGGAGCGTGCGAACTTAACCACTCAGCCACGGGGCCAGCCCCTGGAACAGTCTCTTTTAAGTCTAAGAAAATACAGGCCCTTTAAGGTTTATGTAATCCAATCTAATGCCTTGTCCAGAATGTCGTATAATTGGAATCGTACCCTGTGTATCCTGTTCAGATTGGCTTATTAAATAATGTGTGTTTAAGGTTTCTCCGTGTCTTCGTAGCTTTCTAGCTCATTTCTCATAGTGGTGAGTCACTATTGCGTTGTCTGGATATCCCACAGTTTATCCACTCACCTACTAAAGGATGACTTGATTGCTTCCAAGTTTTGACAATTAGGAATAAAGCTGCTGTAAACATCCATGTGCAGGTTTTTGTGTGGACATGTTTCTGGTTCCTTTGGGTAGATGCTGAGACGCCTGATTGCCGCACCGAGAGGTAAGAGTATGTTGACTTTCGTGAGAGACTATGAAGCTGCCTTTTGAAGTGGTTGTACCATTTTGCGTTTCCACCAGCAGTAAGTGATGGTTCCTGTTCCACACACCACCAGCATTTGATTGGGTGGTTTTCTTGTTGAGTTCTAAGAATTATTTGTATATTTTGGATAACAGTCGTTTGTCAGATGTATCTTTCTTAAGTATTTTCTTCCAGTCTGAAGCTTGCCTTCTCAATATTGTCTTTTACAGAGCAAAAGTTAACTTTTAGGAAATCCAGTTTATTGCTTCTTTCATGGATTATGCCCTTGGTGTTAATAAAAGTCATCACCATGCCCAGGATCATCCAGGTTTTCTCCTGTGTTATTTTCTGGGAGACATATAACGTATAGTTTCGTGTTTTATATTTAAGTCTATGATCCATTTTCAGTTAATTTTTGTGAAGGATACATGGTCTTTCTAGACATATGGACATCTAGTTCCTGAACCATTTGTTGAAATGAGGGTTTTTGTGTTGCAGTTCTTTTTTTTATTGTAAGTTTAAAAGTACAATTAAAGCTGAGAGATTTTAAGCAGATTTGTAGCCTATACTATAAATTCTTCCTTGTTGGCAGGATAAGGATCCCAACTCCAGAGCCAGACTTCCTAGGTTCATATCTATCCCTTACTAACTGCGTGACCTTGGAATGTCACTAAATCTTTGTGCTTACCTGTATTATGTGTAAAACTAAGGAAGATTATAGTATTTACCTCAGAGTTATGAGTACCAATTAGTTGAATATATGAAAAGGACAATTGGAATAGTGGTCTAGATTCTATGTTAGCTGTTCTGGTAGAAGGGGCATGTGTGTCCTGACGTATTTTGCGTGTTCCTTTGGTTCCATGCGTTAGTCATTTGAATTTAATTAACTTCCCACTCAAAAATTATGTAAAGATTCTCTGTGCAGAGGATTTCTCTGAATCTTTTTCTCAAGAGTAAATTGTTAGATTTTAAATGACTTAACCTTAGATGTCTTAAATTATGTACTATATTGTAGTCCTAAGTTTTGAGTTATGTAAATTTTGCCATTGCAGATGGTGACATGGACATTCAGTTGTACTAATTCCTAGGCTAAGATCTCAAAGTCAACTGCATTGGTTACATGTTTGATTGAAAGTAGCATGCATTAGATTGGATTACATAAACCTTAAAGGCCTGTATTTTCTTACATTTAAAAGAGAGGTAGTTCCAGGCATTGAGGCTTATCCTGCCTCTTTAGAAGTGGTGTCCAAGAGCCAATTTGCTAACATCCCATTGGTCAAAGAAAGTCACGTGGTTGGGCCAGACTCTACATGGAAGGGCATTACAAAGTTACAGGGCAAAAGGTGTGGACAAAGGCAGAAGTGGAGAATTTCGGACCATCGGTGGAATTAGTCACCCCCCCTGTCTACCCCCAGACTAAACAGAAGCCAGAGTGAGCCTGTTAAAACTAAGTATCAAGTCACTCATCTCAAAATCCTCTATCAGTATTATCAAAGTCCTTATAATCACCTTTGTAATGTATCTGCTGTGGCATTCCATCTTTCTGACTACACTGCCAGCTACTTTCTCCTCTAATGCAGTGTTCTGGCCTCACTGGCCACCTTATTCCTCAAGCATACTGAGTACAGTCCTTCTAGATATGCACATCTCTTTGTCCTCCTTCAGGTGTTTATCTCAGGGAGGCCTTCCCTGACCACATTACTTAAAATTGCCACAACCCTTATCAACACCATCCACATGTCCCTTTTTCTGCTTTATTTTTCTCTATAGGAGTTTATTTTTACACCTCTGAAAGGTAAGCTCCATGACGTCAGAGAGATTTTAATTTGTTCTCTGCATATTCCAAGAACCTATAACAATGTCAGGTAGATAGAAGGTGCTCAATAAATATTTGTTGAATGAATGGATGATGATTTTTGGGGAGAGCAGTTCTTAGGAGGTTAGGAAGAGATCCAGGTAAATAACCCAGGAAAGATTGTGCAGGCGGAGGAAACAGTAACTGTCCCTGAGGCAGAAGCATCCTTGGTATGTTTAGTGAACAGCAAGGAGACCAGTGTGTTGAAGCTGAACGGGTGTTGGAAGGAGTGTTAGGAGATTAGATTAGAGAGAGATCCAGGGCATCAGATCACATAGGGCTTTGCAGATGATTGTAAAGAGTAGATTTTGTTCTGCATGAGATAGGAAGTCACTAGAAGGTTCCACATGGCTACAAGAATGATTATGTGCAGCCCCTGGCTTATATTCTCCCAGTAGAGGAGAGAAAATTGCCTCCCTTTCAATAGTCAGAAAAGGATTCCCAGAAGAGTTATAGTTTCTTGATTTTGTGTCACAGAAATCCAGGTGGGTTGGTGGATGCAGATGGGGGCAAAATAAGATTGCCCATGAGATAATCATAGTTGAAACTGGATGATGGATCAACGAGTGTTCGCTGTATTTTTTTTCTTGTATATTTTTTTGTTCTCCATGAAAAAATTTTTAAAAAGCTTTCCTTGGAACTGGACCCTATTAGCTAGAAGGCATATGTATTCATTATACATTGATTGGCATTCTTATTGATGCAGCCATATTGTGCAGACTAAATCAGGTTTTTGAACCTGAAGAGGTCAGACTGGATCAGAGGTTAGCAAATTTTTCTGTAAAGGGATGGATAGTGAATACCCTGGTCACTGCAGGCTGTACTCAACTTTGCTGTTGTAGTGAGAAAGCAGCTGTAGGTAATACATAAATGAATGGGTGTCACTATATTCCAATGACTTGATTTACAAAAATAGGCAATGGCGGCTGGATTCACAAGTTTGGCTGTGATGTGTCTTCTTGTGTTTCTTTGGGTGTTAGCCTTTTTGGAGGTGCATTCAGATTTTTGAATCTTTACGTTTTATCTTTTACCAAATTTAGGAAGTTTTCAGCCATATTTCTTTGAATACTTTTTCAGCCCTGTTCTCTTTCTCTTTACTTTCTGGGACTCCAATGACATGGATACTAGGTCTTTTGTTGTAATTCCACAGGTGCCTGACCTCTGGTCTTTTTTTTTTTTTTTCATTCTTATTTTCTCTATTACTCAGATAATTTCTGTTATTCAAGAGTATTAATTCTTTCCTCAGTTCCTTCCTTTCTGCTGTCTAGCCCCTCCATTGAGGACTTTTTACCTCCAGTTATGTTTTTCAGTTATAAAATTTCCATCTGCTTCCTCCTTATGTCTCCTGTTTATTTGGTGAGACTTTCTAGTTTTCCATTTGTTTCGAGTGTTTGTAATTGCTCATTGCAGTGTTTTTATGATGACTGCTTTAAAATCATTGTTGGGTAATTCCAATATCTATGTTATCTTGGCATCTGTTGTTTACCTTTCCTTACTCAGGTGGAGGTTATCCTGGTTCTTGGTATGACAAGTGATTTTTTAAATTGAAACTTGGACATTTTTAGGGGCTGCCCTGGTGGCATAGTGGTTAAGTTTGTGCACTCTGCTTCGGTGGCTCAGATCTTGAGTGTGGACCTACACACTGCTCATCAAGCCATGTTGTGGTGGCATCCCATATACAAAATAGAGGAAGATTGGCACAAATGTTAGCTCAGGGACAATCTTCCTCACCGAAAAAAAGAAAAAAGAAAGTTGGACATTTTTGGCATTTTATGTTACGAGACTCTGGGTCTTATTTAAATATTCTGTTTTACCAGGCCTCTTCTGACACCACCCTCATGGGAAAAGAGGGGGCACACCTTGTGACTGCCAGGTGGGGGTGAAAGTCCAGGATCTCCACTCAGCTTCTGTTAACACCCAGGGTCAGGGAGTGCTTCCTCATCACTGCTGGGCAGAGTTGGGAGTTCTGGCTCCCCGCTAGGCCTCTGCCATCACCCCGGCTGGGAGGGGTGGGATTGCATCCCTATTACCTCATAGGGCCTCCACTGACACTGGGTGGAGTGGTGTCACTCCATGTTATCCCTGGACAGTGGTGAAACTTCTGACTCTCCACCTGGCCTCCTCAAATGCCACACCAGCAGGGAGAGAGAGGGCTAGCTTGTTAGCACTGATGGGAATGGAAGTCCAGGCTCTCCAAGTGGACACCACAGTGAATAGGGAGGAGAGTTATAACTCAGCAGGGATAAGCCCCAGCTCCCTACTCAGCCTTCTCTGACACCACCGAGTCAGGGGTTGAGGAGTCTTCTTAGAACCTGACGAAGGTGGAAATCTGGAATCCTCTCTCAGTGTTTACTGGCAGGGGTGGACGCTGGGCCGTGGTTTTCCTTGTGGTATTTGACTGAGTAGAGCAATCATTGTCTAAAAGTATTCTGTCTTGATAGGCTGCGCTCTTCCTGGACCTTTGGCTAGAGAGAGCAGACTTTTATTGAGGCTTTTTCTTCTGTACTTGGTATTTCCAGGTTGCCAGCTTCTCCAGCATCAAGTCTGGGATAGATGAGCAAAAAGAGAACCCAGGGAGAACTCACCACCATGTCATTCCTCAGATCCAGCCAGGTCCCCAGCTGTTCTGTGTACTCTGCTTCTCTCAGACCCTCCTTTTATTTTTATTTGATATATAATGCTCAGGGATTTTAACTGTATTTAGTGGGAGGAGTGGGGAAAAGTCCTTCATTTCTGTCTTTCTGGAAGTGTCTCTCATGTTCTTTTTATATTTCCCATCTTCTCCATGTTTCCAGTTTGTGGATTTTCTTATTGTCCATTTTCCCGTTCACCAATCCTGTTTTGTTTGTCCACTCTGCTGTTAAATTCATCTGTTGAAGTCTTAAATTCAGATATATTTTGGCTCTATGGGTGTGTGTGTGTGTGTGTGTGTGTGTGTGTTTTCTTTTTGAGGAAGATTAGCCCTGAGCTAACATCTGCCGCCAATCCTCCTCGTTTTGCTGAGGAAGACTGGCCCTGAGCTAACATCCGTGCCCAGCTTCCTCTACTTTATATGTGGGATGCCTACCACAGCATGGCTTGCCAAGTGGTGCCATGTCCACACCTGGGATCCGAACTGGTGAACCCCAGGCCACTGAAGTGGAACGTGCGCACTTAACTGCCACACCACTGGGCCGACCCCTCGGCTCTGTGGTTTTTATAATGATTCTAGTTTATAGCTTCTAGTTTTCTGCTGAAGTCCTTCATTGTTAGTATCTTGAACATATTAGTTATAGTTATTTGAAAATCCATGTCTGATAATAGTAAAATCTGGATTGCCTGTGAGTCTGTTCCTCTTGTCTATTTTGCCTCTTGATTTTCAGTCGTTTTTGTCTTTTTGTTTGCCTAGCTATTTTTATTTAAATGCCAGGCATCCTGTATGAAATTGTAAAGATAATTTGCAGCCCAGGATGATATCTTTCTCCAGGGAGGATTTCCAAATGTAAATAGAGGAAAGGCAAATTATCCTCATCCACTCAGGGACTGAGCTGAATTGAAACTGGGCTTCAGTCTCTTCCAGGGCTAGTCTATTTCCAATCTGCTCTTACTCCTAAGTTATGTACTCAGGTCGTCTCTGTTAGTTTGGGTTCCCCTAAGGGCGGACCCTAAGACAAAAATTTGACTGCAAGTAGTTTATTTGAGAGATGGTCCCATGAAATATCAATTGAGTGAGACACGGAAGGAAGAGCAGCTAATAGAGGATACACTATCAAGCCAGATCCTACTGTGGGTGGAGTGTAACACCACCGAGGAAGTCTAGGAACCAGTGGACTTAAAGTTACGTGTCTTGAAGTTATCCCACCTGAGGGGCAGAGACAGAGATATTTATACACCAACTCCTGTCAGTCGCTGATTTAGGCTGCTCTGAATAAACACCACAGGGTGTTAATTCTTGGCACTTCTGGACTCTGCATTCAGGCAGAGTGGGCTCTGGCTCAGGCAAAGCCCTTAGGCAAAAAGAAGCAAGTGTTGGTAGGAGAGGTGGGACCTGTCTGTACTGTCCTGGTAAGGCCTGAGGGAGTAAGGGAGGACAGCAACAATATCTACAGATCAGACCGTACATTTATTCAGGCCATACATTAAGTTTACTCTGTCCTGTCACTGCTTCCTCCAGGTGTTGGTTGGTCATATTTTTTTTTTTTTTAAAAAAGGAACTTGGAAGGTTGATTAGAAGAGGCTATAAAGTCCACACTGCTACAGCATTGGTGCTGAGACCAATACTGATATTTATTGCCTCTCTCCTCTACCATACCTTCTAGGTTTGCACTCTGCCAGTCTACAATGGGCTGCCCAGACCTTCATCCCTTCTGAGGCACTGAGTCCCTGCCTACCTTGCCCTTGTAAGGCCATGGTTGCTGCAATTGCCCTCCTGTCATTACCAAGTCAGAGATGTACCAAGAGCAAGTCCTTTAAGTTCCAGACATGTTCTGCTCTGCCCCTGTAGCAGCGACCTTATCTTTCTTAATAATCAGGCCAATTTCCCTGCCAGTGTACTAACGCCTTTATTTGGCTGATGGTCAACCAGCATAAAAAGCTCCAAATAACTAGACAGCACTTGGTGTCCCTTTGTGGAAGTTTCCTCCTATCCTTGAACAGAACCTCTAGTTGAGGAGTGTTCCCAAGCGGGTTGCTGGAGTGAGAGAAGCCACTGTCCTTCCCCTTACTGTTTTCTAGACCCGTGCATTCTATCCAGTGGGGACACAGTGGTGGTCATTGTTTCAAAGTATTACCCACGTGTTGAAGGACAGTGCTCCAGTCTCCTAGATTGTTACCCCTAAGTTGGTGTCCTGGCCGCACTTTCAAGAGGCTCGTCCAGTATTCTGTCTGATCAGCAGCTTGTGAGTGAGGTGGTGTAGGAAGACTGGTGAATCCCGCAGCCATGCGCCCACTGTAGCACCTCCTCTGTCAAAGTGTTTCCAGTGCGATTTTGAAGCAAGATCCCATTGTGATAAAGCAGACATTCTGTAAATCCTTGGATAGGACAAGGAAGGCAAACCCATATTTGGAATATGTGTCAAATTCCACTTAGGAGGAATTGCTGTCCCCTCCGGAGTGGGAGCAGTCTGATATAATTAATTTGCCACCAAATGGCTGGCTGGTATTCTCAAGGCAAAGTACCATATTGAGAGGCTGTACCGTCACAGTACCATCAATTTCTGCTGCTGACAGGTCAGACATATAGCAATGGAGAAGATGTATCAGTCTTAATGAGGGGAAGCCCATAATCTTGGGCTCATTTATAGTCTCCATCCCTCTCATCATAGTTTCCAGGGCCCATTGTGCAGGAGATGGGGTGGCTGACCTTTAATAGATGGATCATCCTAACCACCTGGTTGTTCCATGCCTGTTCTCCCTTCCAGCCCACTCCCATAGGTCTCTCCACATGCTTTTTCTCCAGACCTTTTTGTCTGCCATCTTTCAATTTTATTCTTTTCAGGCCTGTGACTTACAACACTAATTTATTTGCCCCTGATGCTCAGGAGTCCATATATATTCTTACATCAGGCCACTTTTCCCTAAAACGTGTTAATGACCAGGCATACTGCTCAAAGCTCTGCCCACTAGGAGATTTTTCCCTCACCACTATCAGAGCCACCCCTGAGTGGGACTATAATGCAAAAGCAGTCCATTTTCAGCTACACCAACCCACTGAGCTGACCCATCCACAAAAGGTCTGGGACACCCACTTGCCCCCCTCCCTCCACGGCACCAAGGCCAAAGTTTTGCGATGAAGCAGAAGAGCTGGTGCAACACAAGTCCACGATGTGAGCTACTTGTGCCCTCTGGACCTGCTTGAAATGGATCCCCTCGATAGACTGTGTTGGAAGACAATGCTGCATGGGTACTTTCATGTTTCTGCACAGTCAGAGCTTCCTGAGCAAAAACGACTGTCATTCTAGGTTAAAGAATGATTGAGTGACAAACATATCTTGGAAATTAGAGATAGTGAATTACTCCAAAAGTTGTTAAGGCTCATCTGCCCTGGAGCCATTTGCTTATATTGTAAGAGTAATAAAAACCTAAGGACCTTCTCTTCTTCTTCTCGGAGCAAAGGTCGAGAGAGATACAGAGAAGGCACAGGTGTGCCAGCCCCCCTGTATCGCTCTGAGTCGCATAGTTTCAGGGTTCCTCTCCTGTGGGTGCAGTCCTGGCATGTGGATATACATCTGGCCCTTACTGCATCGCTGTATGGGGAATTGGCACTGCCGGGATGCTCTCTGAGTAAATGTTCTCCTCTCTGATTCAGAGGTGGGGTGTGTGTGTGTATGAAACTGTGACAGGGTGGGAGGCTCACTAGATTATCCAGGAAGGATAATATCTTAGACCCTTCACAGTTCCAGACTTAACAGATGGCTGTTGCCCACCTGACCTCATGGCTGTGTGTGTGTCTGAGAATACCCAGCCCAGGGTGGGCAGCTCTGGTGTTCCATGGTCAGACACTCACTCTCTGTTGGAGCTCAGTTGCATGCCAGAAGCTACTTTTCAGGTGGTGAACAGTTCTCTGCTACAGACGGCAGAGCCTTGCTGCAGAGCCTGAGAGATCTGTGCTGCGACACTCCTGTGGAGGCTTTGCCACAACAGCCTTCTCTACGTGGAAACTTCCAGTACCATGCCATATGCCCTGGCCCAGGAGACAGGGCTGCTCATACTGCTCATACCACAGCCTGACTTCCTGCAAAGCCCTGTCTTGCTCTGGGCCCCACTCATAACTGACAGCCTTCTCAGTCACCTGATAAACAATTTACAGCAGTATTCCTCAGTGGGATACATGCTATCTCCAAAAACATGAAGGGGTCTACCAGGCACTGCTCCTCGCTTTTAGTGGTAGAGAGGGCAGTGTGTCCTTTACTTTGCAGACAATGTGCTGGCATGCCCTAGACTACTATTTTCCTGAAAACTTCACTGATGGGGCAGACCCTGAATCTTTGCAGGATTTATTTTCCACCCTCTGACCTGCGTGTCTTTCCAGAGCATCCAGAGTCCTTGCTACCATCCCAGGTTTGGTTTAAATGATGTCATTGATAAAGCGGGCTGGTGTGTTGTCCCCTGGCATGTGCAGATACTGTGGCAGAGAGCAGGAGCACTAATATTGCCCTAGGACAAGACCATGGACAGGTATTGTTGGCCGTTCAAGTGAATGTGACTTGCTTCTGATCCTCTATCTTTATGGGATTAGAAAGACTGAGCTTGCCAGATCAATAGCTGCATACTATGCCAGAGGCTGTGTTGATCTGTTCTAATAAAGATACTAAACCTGATATAGCAGCTAAAATTGAGGCTACCACTTGGTTAAATTTAGAGTAACCCACTGTTATCCACCATGATCCTTTTGCAGATGCCAAATGGGAGATAAAACCATCCCCACATTTTTAAAGACTTTGAGGGTATCGTTGATCTTTGGTATTCTACCTGAGATGCAGTCTTGCTTCTGAGTCACTCTCTTGGCTGGGGTGGGGAAGCAGTTTCAGAGGCTTCCACTCGGCCTTTTCTACTTCAGTATCTCATACTGCAGCTGAGGGATCAATGTGAAGATTCTGTGACCTGTTAAATGTGTCCATCCTTATTTCAAAGAATGGGGAAGTGACTGCAGAGCACGATCTTGGGACCCATTGGACTCACTGTGAGATAGACCTGGGCCAGGACTCCATTTATCACCTACCTGGCCTCTGCCTGCCTTCACTCACTCTAACAGGAAAGCCATGATGGTATTTTGGTTTCCCTAGGACCAGTATCAGCCCAGACCCTGTCTTCGCCAGTTTGGGCTGTTGTAACAAATATACCATTGACTGGGTGGCTTAAACAACAGAAATTTATTCCTCGAAGTTCTGAAGGTTGGGAAGTCCAAAATCAAGGTGCCGATCAGTTCGCTTCCTGGTGAGAGCCCTTTGCCTGCTTGGCAGATACCTTCTTGCTGTATCCTCACATGGCAGAGAGAAAGAGAGATCTTCTTACAAGGGCACTAATCCCATCATGCAGGCTCCACCCTCATGACCTAATTACCTCCCAAAGGCCCCGTCTCTAAATGCCATCACATTGGGATTAAACATGAATTTGGGGGGATCCAAGCTTTCACTCTATAGCAGACCCTGACTCAAAAGGCCCTCGAAAGTGCTAGGGATTCCAGTTTCCCCAGTTTACATTTACTTTGGTAAAGGCCTTTGAGGGAAGAATAGAGAAATTGGCAGAGTTTACACTTGCTGAGATGTTGCAGGGTTCTTCCTCAAGGGACCCCAGCCTTCCCTTCGATCTGTGGGCTCTTGGTGTGAGAGCCAGCTCAGATCTGGCAGCTGAGGAGGGGTTGTGATTTTCCATCATGGTGGCTGACATCAGCCTTCTGCTCATTTGTCTTGAACGTTTTTGGTTATGATATACATCAAGCAACACCCTCACTGTTGTCTCAGCTCTCAGGAGGGTGAGATAGTTGTCACAGATCCCCACAGGTCAGGGCTCCCCTAGCTGCCAAAGTGAATTTGCTGCCTGTTACAGTAATTACATGCGCTTTGCCTTTGATGGTGACATATTGCATCCTGCCCTCTGCTATTCTAGAACCCGTTCGTTCCAATTGACGCTAAAAAAACCAGTGCCATACTAGCATCTCCTACTGATAATCCTGGCCACAGGGGAGAGCCATCTCTTAAGCTTCTCAGAGATGCTGGGTCTCATGTTCCTTATTAATTTAGTGAAGAGTGTCCTGTGGCCCTCCTGTGGAGCATGGCCAGCAGATGGGTTCTCTCATCTAACATAAATTCATTTTAGCATGCCTGTTATCACTCTGAGACTTTTGGCCCTTTTCTCAATATTCTGCCAAGGCAGTTCCAGCATCTCCCCCTCATTTTACGGTAGGCCATCAGTTTTTCAAAGTTTCAAGGTATCATCCTAGCAGCATATTAGGACAAGCTACAGATGCCCTTGGAGTTAAGTCCTGAGCCAAGAGAAAATTCCCCCATATCAAAAACTCTCCCTTATCCGTCTTGTGTTCCCCCCCTCCCCAACCCCTGGTCCAACACCTTCAAGTTCAGTTCCAGCCATTCTTTCCCAGCTCCTCCTGTATGTATTAGCCAGGTCCTGCAGGGCTTTTGGTAAATACCTTTCTTCCCAAAGCAGAAATAATACTTCTCCAAATAGGCCATGCTAAAAATCCTGGTTTTGGTCTAGAAGCAGCGAGGAAAGGCAAGGACAGATCTTCAGGAGGAAGTAAATCATGTCGTGAGGCATCTGCTTTAAGTGAGGCCTTTTAATGGTCATCAGGAAAATCGGAGGCACTATCCGAGCAAGGGGGAGTGGGCCACTGCTGCTATGTCAGAAGGTTCAGGGAATCTAGGGATTCAGGGTTCTCAAGCACACCCCATCTTAGGTCACAGTCCCACTCTCCTACAAGGGTCCAGATTTTAGCATTGAAGGGCTGTAAATGTAGCTGTCTTTAGAATTTTGTTACTCTCACAATTGAGTACTGGTCCTGATTTCTAGCACAGTCACTGGCTGCAAGAGATGAAGTTCTCTTTAAATGCTGCCATGGGTACCTTTCTGGTTTTTCTACTTCTGGCAATGAATTGATAGAAGCTGACCCAAACCTGTAATTTTCTTCCTTCGGTTCATCTATGGCACTTAACAACAACAGAACAAACCTCAGTCCTTATAATTACCGTTGTTGCCATCTCTGAAATGTCAGTGATGGTGTATAAGCACATCGTCCTTCCACTCGCATGCTATCCCAGTTCACCACAGGTGAGAGCTAATGGAGGTGCTATGGTATTTAGGGATTATCAGCATCCCATATATGATCCTTGTTACCATCTGGTCAGTGAGTGACCCAATCAGGCATCCCATCTTGAGGACCCCATCTTGGAGGACCATTTCTTTGCCCAACTGCTTTAGTTTGGGATTTTCCCCGAAGCAGAAACTCTGAAACATAAATTCAAATGCAAGTAGTTTATTTGGGAGGTGATTCCAGAAACCTCCGGTAAGAGAGTGAAGAGGTGAGACAAGGAAGGGAAGGCAGCCAGAATAGGATGCATTATCAAGCAAGTGCTTATTGTGGGTACCTGGAGGTTAATCCCTTCATGGAACTCTGGGAACCAGTGTAGAACATGGACCTCAGAATATTCTACCCAAGGGGCAATGTTGAGGACTGCTGGGGTGGGGAGAAGAAGCTCTTGGCACTTCAGTCTGCCAAACACAGTCAGAGTGGGCTCTGACAGCCAAAAGAAGCCCTCAGACAAAGAAATGCAAATGAGATACTGGGGGCTGAAAGTTAACCTCCATTCGCTATAATGGGAAGACCCAAGGGGGATGGGCAAGGGCACCAGTGGCGTATGCTACAAGGTCCCAAGTGAAAAATCTAGGGTCCTCTTTGACAGGCCTTCAACATCTATTTTCCCCCCAGTCCCATGCAACTACCTAAAATCCTGCTCAACCTCTCAGCCACCGTTGGTGAATTCCCTAATACTCGGAGGGGTTACCTCTTTGGACTTCGCTTTTCTTTTTTCAAGGAAGTTAGCTCCTCAAGTCATCACTGCCTTGGTAACGCCCCAATGTTTTCAAACTGACGTATTTTACATTTTGCTCAGGGTTTCTCATTACTTTTAGAAAGAGATTTTGTTTGGAATAAGTTATCCTGCCATTGCCAGAAGCAGAAATCCCAACTACACAATATTGAAGGAGAGAAAAATGAGTGTGGGAAGGGTCCCTCAGACTTTGTTTAGATAACCAACAAACAAAAACCTTTGTGCCTTATCCTAAATGGCAAAACTTGGGAGTTTCATTTTGCCTGTGGATTAGCAACCAAAACATTTGTAAATCTATATTGCCCTCCATAAATTCTTAGTTTTCCTGCATCTTGTGAAATTTACTCTACGGCTAGATTTATAAATTTGGTAAGTGCCAAGTATGGAATAATTCCCGTTGTTCTGCCTTCACAAAGAACTTTGAATTGTAGGTTCTAAAAAATCTCCCCTCAAAAGTCTCACGTCTCTCTGAAAATCCCTGTGTTTCTAATCCCTGAGGCTTACTCAGTGGCATTATGTTGTGTCATATACATGTTGTCTTAAATTAGTCTTTTGTCCCGTAAATTGAAGGCATCTGTAGATTATATCATTTATTAAAAAATATTTTCAACATTTACATTATATTACTCAAGTAATTAATAGTTCTCATTGTAAAAGATTCCAACAATACAAAATAAGGTAGAGCAAAATATATGAAAGTCCTGTTTCATCCATCTTCGCCATTCCCCTCCCAGAGATAGACGTCCCGTTCCCTTCTAGTTCTCTCTCTATGCATTTGCATCTGTACATACGTACGCATTTTTAAACTTTATAGATAACATCCTGCCTCTTGCTATTTTCACTTAAGAAATGCAAGTATTTCTGTAAGATAGGTGTGGCATATTTTTTCCAAAAATATCTACATCTCCCACCTCGCATACTCTTTGGAATTGATAACTGCTTCAAGTAAGAGATGACAGCGGAAAGCACGTTAGGTTATAAAAGCTCATGCAGCTTCCATCTTGTTTTCTTTGAACGCCTGCTCTCGGCTGCTCTCTCGGGGGACTACCTTTGGAATCCAGCTACCATGTTTTGCGAAGCCCAATTCACAGAGAGGGGTCACATGGAAGTGCTCCCCCTGGTCTCCAAGTCATCCCAGACCAGCCCCCAGATGTTTCCAGGCTACTGTCATTTGAGTTACTTACCTCTCCAACTGTTTGAATTTCCCAGATTAGGCCCCAGACATTATGCAACAGAGGCAATCCATCTTCACTCTGTTCTACCCGAATTACTGAACCACAGAATCTGTGAGCAGAATAAAATGGTGGTTGTTTTATGCCACTAAATTTTGGACGGATTGTTATATAGCAATATATAATGGAAATAAATTCCTGGGATTGGATTACTAAATCAAAAGATATGCTCATTTAGGGGCAGGCCCCGTGGTGTAGTGATTAAGTTCGGTGCACTCCATTTCAACGCCCCAGGTTCACAGGTTCAGATCCCAGGTGCAGACCTACACCACTTGTCAGCCATGCTGAGGCAGTGACCCACTTATAAAATAGAGGAAGACTGGCACAGATGTTAGCTCAGGGCTAATCTTCCTCAAGCAAAAAAAAGAGGAAGGTTGGGAATGGATGTTAGCCCAGGGTGAATCTTCCTCAGTAAAAAAAAATAAAAGATATGCTCATTTAAAATTTTGACTCATAATGCCAAATTGCCTTTCAAATTTGCCAAATTGAGTCAACTGATTCAAGAAGAAATACAGAATCTGGATAGACTTATAACAAGAGATTGAATTAGTAATCAAAAAACTTTGCACGAAGAAAAGCCCAGTTATAGATAGCTTCACTGGTGAATGCTACTGAATGTTTAAAGGAGAATTACCATCAATCCTTCACAAACTCTTTGCAAACACAGAAGGGGAACACATCCCAGCTCATTTTGTGAGGCCAATATTAACCTCGTACCCAAACCAGACAAAGATGTTACAAGAAAAGAAAACTAAACACCAATATCCTTTTTGAATACAGATGAAAAAACTCTCAACAAAATACTAGAAAACCAAAGAGAGCAACATAGAAGGATTGTACACCATGACTAAGTGGGGTTTATTCCAGGAATGCAAGGAATATGGTTCAACATATGAAAATCAATCAACGTAATGCACCAAATTAATAAAATAAAGGACAAAAACCAAATGATAATCTCAATAGTTTCAGAAAAGTCATTTGACAAAATTCAACATGCTTTCATGATAGAAACAATAATTTGGAATAGAAGGGAAATTCCTATAATATTATTCAACCAGATAAAAGAAAGTAATACTGCCATTTGCGGCAACATGGATGAAGTTGGAGGATGTTATGTTAAGTGAGATAAGCCAGACACAGAAAGACAAATACTGTAGATCTCACTTATATGTGGAATGTAAGAGTTGAATTCATAGAACAAGAGAGTAGAATGGTAGTTGCCAGGGGATGGGGGAAATGGGAGATGTTGGTTACGGGATACAAACTTTCAGTCATAAGATGGATAAGTTCTGGGGATCTAATATACAGCATGGTGACTATACTTAATATCACATATTGAATACTTGAAATTTGCTAAGAGAGTAAATCTTAAGTATTCTTACCACACACAAACACACACACACACACAAATGGTAATTATGTGAGGTGATGGATGTGTTAATTAACTTGATTATGGTAATTATTTCACAATGTATACATATATTAAATTATCGCTTTGTACACCCTGAACATGTACAATTTTATTTGTCAATTATATCTCAATAAAGCTAAACCAAAAACAAAGGAAAAATTCTCAATATGATAAAGGGCATCTATGGAAAAACCCACAGCTAACATCATCCTGAATGATAAAAAGACTGAAAACTTCCCCCTTAAGGTCAGGAAAAAGAAAAGGATGTCTGATGTTGGCACTTTCATTCAGTAATGCACTGCAGATTCTTTTTTTTTTTCAAGGAAGCTTGGCCCTGAGCTAACCTCTGCTGCCAATCTTCCTCTTTTTGCTGAAGAAGGCTGGCCCTGAGCTAACATCTGTGGCCATCTTCCTCTACTTTATATGTGGGACGCCTGCCACAGCCTGGCTTGCCAAGCGGTGCCATCTCTGCACCCAGGATCCAAACCAGTGAACCCCGGGCTGCCAAAGCAGAACGTGCGCACTTAACCACTGCGCCACCAGGCCGGCCCCTGGAAATTCTATCCAAGGCAAATAGGCAAGACTTCCTTGGAAAGAAGTAAAATTCTCTATTCGCAAATGATGTGAATTTAGTAAGTGTCAAGAAATATCTTAAGGAATCCACTAACAAAAAAAGGTCTTAGAACTAATAAATGAGTTCAGGAAGGTTGTAGGATACAAGACCAAAAAGCAAAAATCAATTCTATTTCTATACACTAGCAATGAACAATTTGAAACTGAATTAAAACAATTTCATTTACGATAGCCTCAAGAAAAATAAAATATTTAGGAATAAAGTTAACCAAAAGGAGGCAAGACTTGTATACTGCAAACTACTAAACATCACTGAAAGAAATTTTAAAAGACCTGAATAAGTGGAAAGACATCTCATGTTCATGGGTTGGAAGACTGAATATTGTTAGCATGGCAATTCTTGCAAATTGGTCTAAGATATAAAAATTCTTATCAAAATCTCCGCCTCCTTTTTTGCAGAAATGGATATGCTAATCCTAAAATTCATATAGAAATATAAAGAACCCAAAATAGCCAAGATGATCTTAGAACAAAGTCGGAGGATTCACACTTCACAATTTCAAAACTTACTACAAAGCTACAGTGATAATCCAGACTGTGTGGGACTGTCATGAGGATAGACATATAGATCAATAGAGCAGAAATGAGCATCCAGAAATTGGGCAATTGAGTTTTGACAAGGGTGCCAAGACAATTCAAAGGGGAAAGAAATGTCTTAGCAAGAAATGTTGCTAAGACAACTGGATATCCACATGCACAGGTTGAATCTTTACTTCACACCATATATAAAAACTAACTCAAAATGGATCATATACCTAAATTTCAGAGCTAAAACTATAATACTCCTACAAGTAAACATAGGAGTAAATCTTCAAGAACTTAGATTAGGCAATGGTTCCTTGGTATGACAACAAAAGCACAAGGGATAAAAGAAAAAAATAGATAAATGGGACTTCATACAAATTTAAAACTTTTTTGCTTCAAAGGACAGCATCAAAGAAATGAAAAGAGGAGCCAGCCCCCTAGCCTAGTGGTTAAGTTTGGCGTGATCCACTTTGGTGGCCCAGGTTTGGTTCCCAGGCACAGAACTTCACCACTTGTTGGTGCCCATGCTGTAGTGGCTACCCACATACAAAACAGAAGATTGGCATGGATGTTAGCTCATGGCAAATCTTCTGCAAGCAAAAAGAGGAAGATTGGTAACAGATGTTAGCTCAGGGCAAATCCTCCTCAGCAAAAAAAAAAAAAAGAAAGAAAGAAAGAAAGAAAAGAAAAGAAAACCCACAGACTAAAATAAAATATTTATAAGCCATATATCTGACAAGGGAATCATGTCCTTGTGCCCAGAATATGTAAAGAAACCTTATAACTCAATGATAAAAAGACAAACAACTCAATTTAAGAATGGGCAGAAGATTTGAACAGACATATCTCCAAGGAAGATATACAAATGTCCAATAAGCACATGAAAAGATAAGCAACATCACCACTGATTAGGGAAATACAAATAAAAACTGAAATGAGATAACACTTCAGATCCACTAGGATGGCTATAATCAAATAGGCAGACAATAATAAGTGTTGATGAGGATGTGGAGAAATATGCTAGTGGGTATGTAAAAATGGTGCAGCCACTCTGGAAAACAGGTCCTTCCTCAAAAAGTTAAATGTAGAGTTACCATATGACCCAGCAATTTCATTCTAGGTGCATTCTTAATAGAAGTGAAAACGTATGTTCACACAAAACATTGGACACAGATGTTCATAGCATTATTATTCATAATAGCCAAACAGTGGCATCATCCCAAATGTCCATCAACGGAAGAATGGATAAATAAAATGTGTTGTAGCCATACAATGGAATATTTGGCCTTTTATATAAAGGAATGAAGTACTGATGCATGGTACAACATGGATGAACCTTGAAAATTTTATGCTAAGTAAAGGAAACCAGACACAAAAGGCCACATACTGTATGATTCTATTTATTTATTTTTAAAGATTGGCACCTGAGCTAACAACTGTTGCCAATCTTTTTTTTTTCTTCTGCTTTTTCTCCCCAAATTCCCCCAGTACACAGTTGTATATTTTAGCTGTGGGTCCTTCTAGTTGTGGCATGTGGGACACCACCTCAGTGTGGTCTGATGAGTGGTGCCATGTCCACACCCAGGATCCAAACCGGTGAAACCCTGGGCCACCAAAGCAGAGCACGAGAACTTAAACACTCGGCCAGGGGGCTGGCCCCCTGTATGATTCTATTTATATGAAATGTCCAGAATAGGAAAATCCATAGAGATAGAAAGTAGCTTAGTGGTTAGGAGAGGCTGATGGGAAGAGGAGTTGGGGAGTGACTACTAATGGGTATGGGGTTTCTTTTGGGGAGGATGAAATGTTTTGGAGTTAGGTACTGGTGATGGTTGCACAATTTTGTGAATAAACTAAAACCAATGAATTGTATACTTAAAAAATACACTAGGTCTAAAAAAATTAAATAAGTTTTTCCCCCCAGCCATTTGCACATGCTGTTCCCTCTTTCAGGAATAATCTCCATATCTTTCCCTATCCCCAATCCTATGTTTAAAAATTGTCTTTCTTTGTCTCCACTAACAATATTTGTCTTAAAGCTACTTTTCTGCTGTTGATATAGTCCCCCATGTTTTGGTTACTATTTGCATAGTATATCTTTTTCCATCTTTTCACTTTCAATCTATTGGTGTCTTTGAATCTAAAGCATATTTCTTGTAAATTGTTTTAAAAAATCTTTTCTGCCAATCTCTGCCTTTTGTTTGGAGTGTTTAAAGCATTTACACTTAATGTAATTACTGACAAGGTGGGATTTATGTCTGCCATTTTGCTACTTGTTTTCTATACAGCTTTTGTCTTTTTTTTGCTTCACTACTGCCTTCTTTCATGTTAGAGATTGTCTGTGGTATCATTTTAATTCTATAATTTTGAAATTATTTTCTTAGTGGCTGCCTTGGCATTATCATTAGCATCTTAATTTATAATCTAGTTTGGAATAACACCAACCTAATCTCAATAGCATGCAAAAACTTTGCTCCTACATAGCTCTGCTCTGTCCCTCCTTCTTTGTGCTATTATTGTCACACAAATTACATCATTATACATTATGTGCATTAACACAGTTTTATTGTTATTGCTTTATGTACTTGTATTTTAAATCGGAAGAGAAAAAAGAATTACAAACAAAAGAATGTGTTTACACTATCTTTTATATTCACCTATGTAGTGGCCTTTACCAGTGCTTTTTATTTCTTCATGTGGGTTTGAGTTACTGTCTAGTGTCCTTTCACTTCAGCCTGAAGCATTCTCTTTAGTGTTTCTTGTAGAGTAGATCTGCTAGTGACAAATTTTCTCAGCTTTTTTTTTCTGGGAATGTCTTAATTTTTCCTTCATTTTTGAAGATAGATTTGCTGGATGCAGAATTCTTAGTTGGCATTCTGTTTGTTGTTTTTTTTTTTAAACACTTTGTTTCATCTCATTGCCTCTGGCCTTCATGGTGTCTCATGCCTTCAAACTCAACCATTCTAAGCCACTGTCCTTGCAGTAATCATTACTGCAGTAGTGGCCAAAATGCAGCAGCCACTTGGCCTCCCAAACACTTAATTCATTTATTAGGCACTTTATCAATAATTTGATTAACTATTTGATGCTATTCTTTCCCATGCATTTCTAGAATTCCACTTCCCACTGGCAAAAAGCTCAGCGGTGTATCCAAGTACAAACCAAACCCCAGATACCCTCTTTCAGAGACTGTGTTTTCTACCACCACTCCTGGTACCAATTCTTTCCAGTTAGGAGATAAGAAAATTCTAATTGTTTTAACAGAGAGATTTAATATAAAAGTATTTTAAAGCAGGAACTAGAGAATTGAAAAGGCAAAGAGGGGATTCTGCTTTATCACAGAGGTAGTAAATGCAAGAAGTGGCAACCAGCTCTACGGCTGGGAGTAAAAAGGGAGGATGTTAGGATTATTAAAATGTAAAGGTTTGGGAGAGAGCCCAAAGAGCTGGAATTTAGCTTGGAGAGGGGCCCTTACTTGGCTGGTATTTCAGCCTTGGACTCAGAGAATGAACCTCACAGAGCTAGGGGCAAACCTTTGAGAGGGAAATGCCAGCTGGCTGGTGCTGCTGTTTCTGAGAATGACTGTAACAAGCTTGATTCTAGTTGTGTGGGAAAACTGCGAACTGGAACCAAGTGCCACTGCCAGGGTGAAGGACCGTTGCTGTGGTGACACTGACAGGAACAGGAAGCAGACAGGAAGGAGCAAGTCCTTCTTCCTCCATCATTCTAGTCTTCCTCTAGAACCTCCTGTGAGCAAAGCCTAACTGGGAACCAGCTGACATATAAGAACTGTAGCCTGCAGAGTTGCAGCCCCAGCACTGCATAGGGCAAAAGGGTGTGTTTGAAGCTGAGAGATAACAGCTTACTAGCCAGCACACTACCACTTGATGTTTCCTATGATGATTGAGCGATTCAGATTTTCTCCTTCAGTCTATTTTGGCTGTTTCTTTTGCTATTTCTCTTTATAGTTTCTAAATAACCATTCGGTATTACATCAGCTGCATGCAAGGAGACCTAAAATAAAAACAACTTAAACAAGATATTTTCTTTCTTTATCATCTGAAAGAAGTCCAGATGTAGGTTGCCTAGGGATCAAATGCTGAATGTTTGTGTCAGGAAATCAGGCTTTCTATTTTGTTGCTCTGCAATTCTCAGCAAAACGTTCTTCATCGTCATGGTTCAAGAACCCTGTTTGAACTCCAGTCGTCACGCCCATTTTCCAGCTAGCAGGAAGGAGAACGGGAAGGAAGAAGACGTGGTCCTCCTTTAAGGGCACCAGAAATAGCCCATCCCACCATCTAGAGCTTAATCTATGCCCACACTTGCTTACAAGGGAGGCTGGGAGATGTTTTTTGAGCAGTCATGTGTCCAGTTAAAAGTTGGGGACTCTAAGAAAAAAAGGAATAAATATTGGGGATCACTGTTAGCATTTGCCACACAGGCATACAGTGCTAGGGATCTGCCCGTATTATTAATTTTTGTTTTGCTTTGAATTTTAATTTGGTGTTCTTACTCTCAGCTGTGTCTGGTCTCCACCAGTCGATAGCCCTCACATTTTCCCCAAACTTCTCCAGACGGTAAACTTCGTTTTCTGCTGAATTCCTGGAAGGGCCGTCACCTGGTGGTAGAGGTTAAGGGGAGAGGATAAGGAAGGTGCCTACTCCTCTTAAAAGACTCCAATAAACTCATCTGTTTTCAGCTGCACTCCTTACCCTCACCCTTAGAAGAAATTAGTGCCCCCAACTCCTGAGACTTTCCTGGGTCCTGCAGTATCAGGATTTGTTGTTAGCTCTCTGCTGTACCACAGGGGCTTAGCAGAACAGAGAAAGCTAAAACCAAGCCAGCTGGTCATCTATTGCTTTCCTTCCAACAGCTGGATATTGTTCATCTGCCATTAACTCCTCTCGTTGTCTTTGTGGGTTTATAACTTTTGTTATTAGCATGGCGTCGTGGGAGGACACTGACTCTAAATACTTGACCACACTCCCACAAAACACGATTTTCATTCTTACTACTGGGCCATGAGGATTTCAGTTATCTTACATCTCTTTCTACAATTGCTAAAGCAGGCATCATGATGGTTGTTGGGACTTCCATTACCTTCAACCAGTTCAAATCAAACAAGAAACCTGTGTCCAGGGCTTATGGCAGTCAGTAGCTCTTTGCTCTCCCATGAACATATCCTTGGCAAACGTAACAGCCACTGTTCATTGAGTGATTATTATCTAACAGGTATTGTGTTAAGTACCTTTAAGTAGATCATTTCATTGTAAATTTCTCAACCACTCCGTGAGGCAGGCATCATTTGATATTCTAATTATTATTTTACAGATGCAGAAAACAAGGCTCAGAGGTTGAATTATTTGCCCAATCACACAGCTAGTAGATGGATGAGACATCTTTCTCCAAGACTATGTTTCAGGTAGGCACGCACTGTTTATTTTGTTCAACGTCAGGGGCTTGCAAACCATATTTTAAGTATAATTTGTCTCTCGTGGTTTTTTTTTTTTTTTGAGGAAGATTAATCCCGAGCTAACATCTGCTGCCAATCTTTTTTTTTTAACTGAGGAAGACTGGCCCTGAGCTAACATCCGTGCCCATCTTCTTCTACTTTCTATGTGGGACGCCTGCCACCGCATGGCTTGATAAGCAGTGCTAGGTCCACACCCAGGATCCCAAGTGGTGAACCCTGGGGCCCCAAAGTGGAACATGTGAACTTAACCACTGTGCCACCGGGCCGGCCCCTCATGGTTTTTTAAAGATTTACAATATAGCCCTTGAACCTGGACTCTCTAACTTGCCAGTACCTACCATGTCCTGAGTTTGCACTCAGGTCCCTCTGATTACCTTCCTCCTCCTGGAGGCCTGAATTTTGGCGTCTAGTTCTGTTTACCACCATAGCCCTAAAGCTCAGCAGACCGCCTGACAACATGCATTTACTATTTGTGGACTGACAGCTTCTCATTCCATCTTGGTCCCATCAGTTTGAGCAACCCTACCAAAAGCACAGAAATCTTGGATTTAATCTTGTCTAAGAAAAGCTGCTTCTATTGAAGTATTTGTAATTCACCAGAGCTTTCATTCTACTTGTAATCATCTCTCCCAGCTCATTTTCACATCCTCTACTTCAGTATTCTGACTAATCCAGGAGATGGTATCAACGTGCCTATTCTCACTTCTTCACTTACTCAACTAATACTTAATCCTTACTACCTAAGTACTACTGGATACTGCGCATATAGTGGAGAGGGAAAGGCAGATTAAGCTAAAGAATCATGCAGGGCCCTCCAAGCAAAGGTAAAGGTCTTGAACTGTTCAATTACACTTGCATTTAAAAACACTACCTTAGCTGTTGGAAGATGGCAGCCTGAATTAGGGTGGTGGCAGTGGAGAGAACTTATTTTGGAGTTGGGATGGACAGGACTTGATCATTACATGTGAGGGCTGAAAGGCAAGGGACCTGAAGTTTTCTGGAGGGTGGAAGCGAAACACTGACATTTTTTGGACACGTACATGTTGGGATATGAGATTGAAGTACATGTAAACGAAAGAAAAGCAAAAGTGGTCTGGAGAAAAAAGAAATTCTGGAGGCACAGGCCTTAAAACAGAGGCAAAATGGAAAGGACCAGGCCAAGGACTGAGCCTTAACCAACTCCAGCACTTAAAAGGTTATTATCATACAACAGTCTTTGCTTTTCTCTTTACATTAACAAGGAGTCTCATGAAATTTTATTAAATTTCAAGGGTACAGACAAGAAGCAAATTTCACAGTTAAACACAGAAAAATGCAGCAATGTAATTACTGGCTGGGATGGCTGTACTTGAGGTTGTTCAGAGTACCAAGAACTATCTGGATTGTCAGCTACCCACTTTTCTCCGTTCTTCAACTGTGTGCCATGCTGGGATCCATTACTCCTAACTAGAATGGAAATGAGGTGTATTTACAGAGGAAATACTTTATTCTTAAGATGCCAGAGAATGCAGAACATCTCTTTGAAGTAATGGCTGCTTCAGTCTATAAATGGGTCACTTATTTCCCCAATACGTTTACCTCTAAGTCAACTTTTAAGCACAGCCTTCAGGGATTTCAGCTTTAGAAAATGGTTTAAACTATTTTTGTCCTTAGATATTTTAAAATGGTTACACTGACTGGGAATTCCCTGAAATGGAGCAGCTCAATTATATTTGATAATTTGGTAGCACCCCAAATTCATTATACACATTTAATGCATTGTTCCCAACCTGCATGAATACAACCATCAACATCCTCAACATAACATCATACGTAACAAGACATTGGTCCCTCTGCATGAAGTCTATAAAGCAAAGGATTCGTCCGATTTTGATCCCTGTCTCCTCCAGAGTACCCTAGGAGGCCCCACAAGCAGTCACGCTTTTAACTACAGTTCTTTATTAAGAGTTACTAAACAGACAGTGAGTAAGTATATTTGTAATACATCCTCATCCTCTTTTCAATTCATTGAGAGGTGCGACTATAATCCTAGAATAAGGATAAAAGGATTATAAATGCATTAAAATGATTAGAACTGATAAAGCTGCTAATTGCCCATAGTTAAATAGGGGGGAAAAGTGGCGAAGGGAGGAGAGTTGGCAAGCCTTTCTAACCCACACCAAGTTCCATACAATTATGTGTAAGATTGTGTTTAGGTACAAACCCACTGTGATTCAGGTATTTAGACAGACGCCAATTATAAATTCATTATTTTGAAGTTAAAAGCACTTATCTTGTAGATTCCACTTAAATAAAGCCTACTGAAAAACTTTATTTCTTAATAGTTATATTTTAAACCTTCAGGCCTCAGTAGGCTGGTGAATAGAAATACTTTATAGCAATACTAGAGGACTAATACTTTACATGAAAAATCACAGCAAGGCAATCTACCATAATTCTCACAGAAATCCTCATTAAACTATTTTACACGGCACCTGTAAATAGCATCCAAGGAAAATTTTTGCAAAGGTAATTCAGTAGTCTAAGCAATAATGTACTCTAAAACTTTGGCATCTGTTACATTTGAAGCCAACCAATAGTTCTGTCAGTTCCTCCAAGCAGCCTACTTGAGTATGACAGTAGACATTTGTCAGTAAAATTTCAATACCATTTATCAAAACCCAACAACTTTAAAATAAATCATTCACCTAAGCTTTTAATTGATTTTTATAGATTATGCATGAAGATATGACTGCTGATGCAAATGTCTGTCACTAGGTCCATTCCTCTTTAAAAAAAGATATATTAGGGCATGCATTCTCAACAGGGGTGCTATCGCCCCCAATAAAAAAAACCTTACTCTTTCCACGTATAATGTAGATACTATATATATATGTGTATATATATATATATATATGTATACACACACACACAGCATATCTGTGATATTAAAATTTATCGGGGTGCTATTAAAAAAAAAGTCTATGAATGAGCTAGCCCTGATGGCCTAGTGGTTAAAGCTTGGCATGTTCCGCTTCGGTGACCCACGTTTGGTACCTGGGCATGCAACCACAACACTTGTCTGTCAGTAGCCATGCTGTGGTGGCAGCTCACACAGAAGAACCAGAAGAACTTACAACTAAATACAACTATGTACTGGGGCTTTTGGGGGAAAAGGGAGAAAAAAGGAGGAAGACTGGTAACAGACGTTAGCTTAGGGAGAATCTTCCCCTGCAAAAAAAAAAAAAGATAAAAAGTCTAAAAAGCCTTCTTGGGAGGGTTGATAACGAGGAAGAGTTTTGAGAAACACTGAATTAGAAGTAAATCTCTCAGTCACATGCATTTCCTCTCACCACCATCATTATGCTATGTCAAAATATCCTGTGGCATTTTTGATATTTGGAGTTTTCATAAGAACACAACAATAAATATCTCTAGGACAATACTCCCAGAATAATTAAGATTAAGAAACTTATGATCAGCTCTATACACACATTTAATTATGGCATCTAAGAGAAGACTTATCCTTAGAAACTGACAGCAAGTTGGGGAAAATCAATTAACATTTATCCAATCATAATTACAAGTACAATTTTAACATATTAAGAATTACATATTTGAGGCCATAGGTTGGCACTGGCAGCTGAGTTTCATAATTACCACTTAAAATTCAAAAGGAAAATCTGCAAAGTCTTTTTAGAGCATTCTCTTTCTTTATACTGTACTGTCACAGGTGACTTTTCCATTTACTATAACATTGTAGTAAGTAAACACTACTTTCTCATTATGAAGAAAAAAAACTCTATGATCAGACAAAGATCATAATGTAGTTCTGGAAGACTACACACTCTTTCACTATACACAGTATATAATAATACAGGGTAGACTTTGTACGGCAGTAACATGCAATGATTTGGTTGTAGAAATGTTAATGTAGTTACCACTACATCAGAATTCTGTGTAGGTGTTTACAGTTTGGGAGTCATAAGGATGAAAAGAGCAATTATTTAATGATTACACAGTAGAGACATCTGAATGTGTAACATACAGTTACCACTTGGTATTAATATGGAATTTACAAAGAATAAAAAATTAAAAAAGAAGACTGACCTATGTAACCTAAGTGTAAGGATGGACTTTATTTTTTAAAAAAAGTCTTTTGAGGACTACAAATTACAAAGTAAAAGCAGATCACTATGTAGAAACCTAGTGAATACATTTTGTCTGTGCATGAAAACTTTATCAAAAGTTATTCATTTAACAATTTCACCCCATTCACAATGATATCAGTTATAATGCTCTTCTTCATAAGGATACTATACCTTTATTTCAAATTATATTACACATCATTCCCACAAGATGAATTTTTAAACACCAATTTCTTCGCTCACAAGAATGGCACCTTTGAAACGGGCAATTTCCACTCAGTCTTCAGTGGCATTATTCCAAGCTAATTTCTTTCACTCATCAAAGAAACTTTCAAAATGTTCACTTTTAACATGAAGTCTTTCCACCAAAAAGTGTGGCCACGTTTCGTTTTCTAACGACTACGTCTATACGATGGGTAGCAGCAAGAAAAGAAAGATAGAAATGAAAATGCAGCCATTAAAATAAATGGGCCAACCGTATAGAAGAGATATTTGGCTCATGGCAATTTAAAAAAAGGGCAACTAGGTTTATGTTAGCAGCCAGATGCTTGTGTTCTAAGTGAATGTGTTAAGAGAATGAAGCTGATCCAGTATGACCAAGTGGGAATATATCATTATCGTTGCACTTCATTCTTTACAACAAATACTCCATGCCAATAGGAAGTATGAGTTATATTTAGAGTCCCAATTAGAACATGCTGACCACTTTACTTTCTCAACAATTTACTGGGTTTAGTACAGTCATTTCCTTTACTCACACTATTTCGTGAGTCCTTTCCTATCAGTCTAAGTGTATGACAAGTGTAAAATACTTTAAATGAC